ATTTATAATTCCAAAGGTCCTCATAATACCTTTCAGCTCTTTTTCTTCGTCCTTGGTTATTCGAAAGTATTTAAGAGTGGGTTCCGCGCGTCTTCTGCCGTCTTCCCCTAATATAAGTTATTACATCACTCTCTTCTCATCCATATCCTTGCCATCCATTCATCTTTTCTTTGGTTGCTTTAATTTTAAATTTTATCTGATTTCGTGATAAATAACTTGGTATCTTAGGTTCTTTGGACCATCTAGGCCTGTTGGACCAGAAATAGTCATGTAGGATAGGAATGTATGCGCCTGCAGGTTTCTTTGTATGAATCATAACTCTAAATAAGCGACAGTCGTAATATTTTGTCATCGTTTCCTCCTACCTCCACCTATATTTATATGTTAATGAATTCGCAATTTGTTGTGGCTAGATGGAGGTATTGTTATTGTTATTTGTTAAGTGCGTCCATTGCTGGTAAGTACAGCTGTCAGGTTGGTTACCTCTCACTAACCTCTTGAGAAAAACAATCGTGGCAACTTAAGCTGTGTCATTAATGGTTACAGAAAGTCCTAAAATAACAACCAGCCCCCAATAGACGGGTAGCATCATCTTCTTAACCTTCGGTGATCTAACCATGATCCCCAAGCCAAGCGTGGTGATTAGAGTTGAAGGTAGGAATATCCCGGCTAATGATAACGTTGTCCATGACAAGGGACCATCCAATCTATTCACGTCGTTCGTAAATGAGTAACTTTTATTTGTATGGCTAAGTTAGTTTCAAGGCTCAAGGGTAAATTTTTAACTCAAGAAATGTCTAGTATTTAGGTCACAGTGCGTTGTACAAGCTAAACGCATTCACCTAATTCTTATTTAAATATTTAAAGAAATACAGTGGCAGTCGCACTAGTAGTAGTTGGCTCAACATTCTTATGTAAAACGATTGTGAATGAAGTACTCCACGCTAGAGTTAACGTACTCAAAGCAAATCAAGTGATTACTTGAGAATTAATTAAAGGTGGTGGCGTTTGTAAGAACGCTATTGGAGATTTTATATGTACAACATATTTAACGAGCGTTTGTTCCATGATTTAGATAGAAACACAAAAACTTAGCATTAGGTTCGTCATTTCTTGGAGAACTGGCAACGGGATGGTAACAACCTTGTTGGTGCGCGTGAGGAACGAATCTCTTCGCGCCCCAGCCATTGCGGGAGTCACTCCGAGCGTCGAAGATCGCGAGACGATCACCGGCTACCGTAAGCACGCGCCTGCGGACAGCGAGCATGCGTAGCTCGCGGCCACTGACCAGAACCATACCGAGCGTACAGCCTGTCGCAATCCACGCGCGCCTTAAAGAGCCATCAGGCCACCACGGAGGATGCCCAGAAGGGCTCCATGCCCATCCCAGAGCCGCGGAGGACTTAACGGGTTGCCGGGGCTGCAGATATGGATCGACTTTTGACATTAGTTATATGGACTTTCAGTCAAAAATCGATCTGAATACATTAGATTTAGAATTGAGACACTCGGGTTATTATTTCAGCGGTAAGAGATACATTTAAGAGACCGGGCAGCAGCAGCAGCAGCAGCAGCGTTCTTGATCTGAAAAAAAAAGCTTTGCCCCACACTGGGATTTTCTCCTGTGTCGTGGGTGCATTTACAAACAAGTTCACAATCTATGGATCACACAAATAATAGTTGTTCCGTACGGGAATCGAACCCGCGACACGTTGTCGCTACGATCTGCACATCAGTGGACACTGCGATTTCCATGCCGTTGCTACACGTGTTGATTATGGCAAACGTAAACCCCTCTTTCTCCGACAGTGGAGTCACGACCTAGTGATTATAAAGATTCTTGACAAGCATATAGATTGGAAACATGATTTAAAGGTCATTTGACGATGTTCGAATCAGCCAGGAGTATAAACAGGCATAAGCGTCAGAACTCAAAGGCCATCGAAACAATAAATAACTTCCACACAAAGACAAAAACATGAAAACACATTGTTGCCACAAATAAAACTACATACGTAGCTTGTATTAAAAGTTTTAATGAATTTACTCTTAACTCGTCGAGTACCGGTATTATAGACACAATTAAAGAACAATGGGTCGCGGTCACCGGTGACCGCTTGGTGTTTGACAGTTTAAAATAATTTCATCAGAGTTCAATACGCCCTGGGCCCTGGCGGCGCACGTTGGCCAACTTTACTATATTCCTTGTCACTGTCACTATTATCTGTTTAAATAGTAAAAGTAATGAAATTTATTTTAAATCTACCATTATCAGCCAGCAAATTTAAAAACAAACCATTTCCCACCTTAAAAAAAAAGCTTTAGCCTATCTTGCCGTCACGTACTAAAAGGTTGGTGAAAATAAAACTTACGTATAGTAGTCGGAATACTATTTACACGGTTTTATTTTTTATATTATTTTCCTTATTAAAAAATAATAATAATTTCTGCGGCGTTATATCACTATATAACGTAGGTACTGGACGCGGAAATGAAAATATAAATCAAGCCAATTTTTTAAAGAGGACAGCCTGCGCTCCTGTGCATTTCCTCTCATAGACAATAATATTGGGCTATACATCGGGCGTTGTCATGACAGAAACACTCACCTTTTCCCTCAACTTTACTAAATATCCACAATATGTATTGCTTCATAAGATTAGTTGGTATAACAATCATAATAATGACCATAACCAAAACGATATCATTTGAACATCAAACATCAAGTCAATTTTCAGCTATTTGTTCGATCTAAATAAGAGCTTGTCTTACCACCATTTTTTTTATTGTTTGTTTTGGATGAAAATATTTCCATCATCATTTCATTTTTTACAAAAAAGAACGTGACACCATAAATACCATAAAACACCCATAAAACCGCAACAAATAGGTACCTAGGATAAACAAACAACGAAACCTACTCATGTCTTTAATTAACAGGAAAAGTACCTACATTAGTATTTTAATTAAAACTGTTGGTAATCCCCATATTATGGCAAAATGCCTCTTTGAAAGTAGGTATTAAAAAATAAACATTTAGCATAACAATGGCTGAATGTGCTCGTAGGACTATATGTTATGGTAGGTTACCTACCGGTACAATAATAGTTACTATTTCTTGCATGTAATGTCATCCGTACATACATTATTGAATGAAGTTGATGTGATACTTACCTACTATTTTATTCAAACCTTGTATCTTATTGAGAAAGACTGGGTGACTGTTGCTATTTAAATAATGGTTTCCTTACAAAATGTATCGTAATAAGTCTGGTACGATGAGGATTGATCTGGACACCTTTTGGTTTTTCTTTAATAAATTCAAATGTATCGATAAATACTATTTTGAGGTAGTCCTGATGCCACTTAATTTTTGTGTCTTTAATTTGCGGCTCTGGATTGTCAAAAGCCCCAATATCTGAGGTATGTAACTAGGTGGCGCTGTCATAAGGCAATACAATTTTTGACAAGCTAGCAACAGGGATCTAATTCTAAAATTACAAATGGGTACAGATGCATATAACTAAAAAAAATTAACGCCTTGATTCCTACATAATATGAGACTGCACTGCATATTTATGTAAACAATTTATAATGACTACAAAGAAGTCAGTTAAAGTTTATTTATTTAGTCGGAACACACAACGAACGTGTAAGTCCAATGTAAATATCTCCCGAGGCAGGCATTTAGCTAATTTAATCAGCGGGTTGTATAAAACATACACCACTAAGTAGTACGGTTTAAACATAGATATAGGTACTTCGACAATTTGACGTCATCATTTTCGTCTACAATAGACCGATAAATAGACAAAGTACTTAATTCTAAAGCTTCAAGCATTACTGCCAATACGAACCAATTCATACGATTCTTAGTAGATACAGCTGCATTTCAAAACTTATTAACATTGGGGAATGTCCACCAACCATTACTTAAAGACCAGACCAACTTTGAAGGTTGTTACACCGGTCTTCAAAGCTTCTAAAACTGGTCTATTGGCTCTAATATCATGGCCAGCTACATGGTGTGGGTATAATGTTAGAGAGTGGGTCGAGTGTTAAGGCCACGTTTGGGCAAGTTCACTGCCATCCGTGAGGCCGTCTCCCGTCTGATGCAATATTCACAAGCTGTTGGCTGTATTTCGCCGTCGTCGGAGCCAGCCCATTTAGAAATCACAGATTGCACGTAACGCATTAGAAGTCTTAACGCGGATTACATACACTTTTACTTGAGTTAGACGTTATTGTTTAAATGTGCCAATCGTTTCGATTAACGATAAATGATTAATGTTTTGCGTTTTGCGGATATATTATCTACATCATATGTCTTTCACATACCTACAACTCGAGTCTCAAGAAGAAATGTTTGCATCTATCATATTACAAAATATGAATAAGCTACTTCAGCATCTACCTACATTATCTTTCGTCCATAGCACTTTAAATATTTCCTTATTTTTCGCAAACGGTGAGCTAAAAATTAAAAGCAACATTTTTACGACCTTTTTATAGATTTGTTTTACTTGTATATCGGTTTATGAGTACTATTGTTCAGTCGTAAAATCATGCCCACACCAGACAATTACAATAGGAACCAAATTGACCTGATGAATGCAATCTATGTCCTAGATCATTCAGTAACTGGGTCCGAGACCAATAAGATAGCTCGTTTAAATTAACTGGATAGTACGTACCAATTACTGTTAATAAAAATTTTAAGTTTACCAAATGTAATGGAGAGGAAATATAGTCCCTAGCAAAAGAAAAGGCAACAGGATACACAAAGGTCAGGGACAAAGGATCACGACGATCTGTCCATATCTCTAGACAAAATCTAAAAAGAAATATCAAAAAAACACAATTTCAGAATTAAAACTTCCTTAGAAAATGTTAAATATATTTGATTCTTTATAGTTGAAATTATTTTGATATAGCTTAATATGAAAAATAAACCTAGATAGAAGTGTACAAAAACAGTGGAACTTTCGAGAGTGGCAGAGTCAGTAAGGGCAGCATCTGGGTCTTCTGATTTTTCGCTTCTTAGGTACCATACGGCAAGTTCTGCAAGGAAGACAGCAAGCAAAGTCGTCCTCTTCACACTGGATCTGCATGCAGTGGTGGGTCGCTGGCTGCGCTTTGGCTGGTGCACGAGGAGTCACCAGCTCCACCTTTTAGAAAATAATGATTATATTTGTATTTCTTATAATATTATGATACGTGGGACGTTTAATTTCCTTCGGGGTATAAAAATCGAGACAATTTATGTTTTCTGTCCAATGGTCGTTATACAAGTATTAAATCAGTACGATGTAAATCGGCGGATTAATGACAATAGGAACCTAAACGAACCCTTGGTGATATTTAAGTTGTGGACAATTGTGAACACAGGCATGTCGCCAATTTTATTTCACTGGTAATATACTAGTTATAGATTATTCTATCGTACTAAAAAAGAAAAAAAAATAATACTCTGTAAACTATGTTCAATTGGACCTCCCTAGCCCCTACATATGGAATACTTTACTGCAATAATAATAATATGTGCGCGTTGTCTCCAGTTGCCAAGCAGGAGTGAAATTACATCAGCCACATTGCTGTGTACAGTTTTGGGCAGAATATGCATTCCAATCATTGGGGAACAGGGATCAGTAATTGCATACGCCTGCAGGTACAACCAGTTTGACAGCATGGTGGCAAGTTACAGATTGCAAACGTCAGAAAAAACCATGAGAGTATTTTTCATTGCAGTACAAATGATGTGAAAGCGTTCATACTCTTTTAATTCCAAATTACCATGAGTTTGTATGAAGCACTTTCTCCATTAACTGCAAAAAAATTCTAAACATAGGTGATAGGTGATACACTTATAAAAAGGTTTAAGCTAGTATTATGAATAAATAAAAATAAAAAATAAAATAAAATAAAATAATGTTTATTTCGGACAAGTGAAGCATCCATAGGGGTTAGTAAGAAAACATTTAAAAATCTTAAAAACTATGTTAGTACCTATAGAGATATTGTTACAAGCCTACTGTTGGGAATACATCTTCGCACGATACCATGTATTATAGGTGAATCGTACCTCCCTGCAATGGTTTTCAAGATGGAGTTGGAACTGGCCCGCACCCTGCAGAGCAGCGATGCAGACTTCTGTCTGATAATGGCATGGAAGTCATTATGAATGGAACTAGAAAGATAATTGGACCCCTGCTTGCAGCTTACTAAAAATAAAAGATGTATATAAAACGAAAATAGCCCGAAATATTAAAATAGAATTTGATAAATAGTTCTAACCTCAATGTTCCCCGTACGGTTTGGTTCATCGGTTTGCTTCCCAATCTTGAGTATGAATACGTCTTTGTCTGGATGCAGCACCTTCTGTGCTTGCACTCCTTTAGGCGCGTCTTTTGGCGTCACATTGCATATATTACACATCGTGTCGTTGCCAGTGGTCTTGGAGTAAATGAGCTCTGAATTTAGATTCGTCCTGTGTGTAAGTGACTCGCAAATGTCGTCAGGAATCTGTAATTTGTTAAATAAAATATTTATTCCGGTTTACACCTCAAATTCAAGGACTCTTGGGTCAAGTTTGCCTTGTCCGCGCAAAAATAAAATTTTCTATTTTCACAACCTAGGAACAGCAGAATGGAGTTTGGAGCATCGTAATAACTTTTGATGACCAAAAAACTGACTTAGCCCTTTGAAGAATAAATGGTGTTATGGATATGGTATAATGGTGTAGATTAGATAGCTAAGTTGAATGACAATTTAATATTTGCGATCTATAAATATGTCTAAAGCAGTCTTTTTTATCCCAAGCTGGCAATTAGAGCTTCAATTTGTTAAGTAAGATGAGGCACTTACTTGGAAATCCAACCTGTTCCCTGGACACTGGTCTTCCCCACACACCATGCCGCAGGTCTCTGAGCAGATGGACTCATCATCTTCACAAGTACAGCTCTGTTGTAGCTTCAGCTGTGATGGAGTCAGCTTTGGCGGTTTTGACGTACTTTTGGGCACTCGTATTTTTACCTGGTCGAAATAAAATTAAGATATCCTGTGTTCCTGTTCTGCTTTTACTCCTAGAAACGTGTTTCAATTTTGAAGAAAGTTTTGTGAATTTTATCAGTGAAGTTTCTTGAATTTTCTTTCAGTGCGTTGTGTCTATTCACTTCAGATTTTGCAAAAGTGGTTTGGTATCCTTAGGCGGACCGAGCAGTTGACTTACCTCATTTCCATTAAATATAGCACTAATTTCTTCATAAGGTTTTTTTGGCTTCGGAGGTGGATCCGCAACATTAGTTGCCATATTCGATGGTATAATATTATTTAAAATATCAACAAAAATTTGGAACCAGTTCAATTCATTGGGAATTTTGTGAGATCACTTTTGAAAGTTGTCAATTTTTTTTCTTCTTTGCTTTTTGGTTTAACAACTGTCAATAACTTATTGAGGAGTCTTCTGTTGTACGTAAAGCGGTTGGTAAATGATGGATGAATAATTATTATTATCAAGGACGTTAAGAAACATATTACATCGCAAGGTGTAACTTACCTATCCTCAGATTCTTGTCCAAATCACTACATAGTATAAAACAAAGTCGCTTTCTCTATCCCTATGTCCCTTTGTATGCTTAAATCTTTGAAACTACGCAATGGATTTTGATGCGGTTTTTTTAACAGATAGTGTGATTCAAGAGGAATGTTTATATGCATGCATATTGCACCCGTGTAAAGCCGAGGCGAGTCGCTAGTTACAGTACTATTATCAAGTTTATTTAAAAAATCTGGCTCTAAGAAAATAAGATATTCCTCGTGAATGAACAGAACCAGTTAGAGGAACACGGAAGCAATTCTTTAGAACGAGAAAAATGAAAGAATTACAATATATCTAATTTTAGATTGCATTTGACATTTGATCATTGGAACGAGTTCCACATAAATTATTAAGTAATTGACCGTGAAGAGACGATATGGAGACTTTCAATATCATCCCATTCATAAATGAGTCCAATAAAAGATACATGTATCCTGGCGGTGAACACGAACAAACATCAAGCTCTGCAGAGACATTATAAACTGACTTTTGAACGTGCTGAAGATCATACAATGCGAGACCTTTGTACGGGATACATATAGCTTGATATGTAACCCCGTAAACCAATCCAATTTATTCTTTCAGTGGAGATAATAGAACCAAAAAACTGAACTGAAAAGTTAGATTTGCAAGCTTAAAATATAATAATTTGACTGCCTCGTTGGCCGAGTGGGCACGGTCTCGGTCTCGGGTTCGATTCCCGGGCCGGGTAAACTATTATTGGGTTTAAAAAAATCTTAGTAGTAGCACGTAGTCTGGAAATGTGCCCGATATATGGCAATTTGCAATAGGCTAACCGCCTATTACATGGGACTCATAACATAAATAGTGAAAAGTGGGTGTTCTGTGTGCACCTCTGCCTACCCCTTCGGGGATGGTATGTTATGTAAATATAATAAACTGTGTACGATAAAGATTTATGTCTCCATTTTGATATTACAAAATGTATTGTTATGCCTACAACCACTTTATTGTTTTACGAGTAGACACAACAGTATCAGTTGACATAGATCTTCGTATTATTTTATTACAATAACATGAGTAGTGTACCTCACAGGTGAAAAATATTAGTTTTATAATTTCAGTAACTATAGTACATACGTTAAGTGGGAGTTGTCTTTTTTTAGTGGAAAGCAATGTTTAAATGGGCCGATGCCCGGAAAGATTCCACGGCCTCACAGAAATCCGGCGTGAAACAACGCTTCCGTTGTACCACCAGGTGAATGAGCAAACCAGAGACCCAACCGCCTTTCTCCCTAAAGATGTAAAATACCGACTTGTTACTTCTTTAGAATTGCCGTTGTCTATGAGTGGCGATGATTGTTTAAATATACGTCGGCTCATTTGCCCGCTTATCTCACAAACAAAATCCCTATAATGTAAGTTCATACTGTTCATAGCATACCGAACAACGAACTATAAAATATTATTTAATATAGAATCAATGAATTCCCAGAATTATTGTGGATTTAAACATTACCTAAGTATTTTTGTTTACAATAAATTAATACGCCTGTCTCCTTTTGGAGTCGTTTCTCAGAAGATGCCAGTGGTTCGCTGTCAGCAACAAGATGCGTGCACATTCTTTGTCGGAGATTGAACTGAAGAATCAAATAATTGCTAGGTTGTCGTTTTTTGTTTGTTAATGATTTTTGACGTCTGATAGCGCCGCTTACAAGTACCTTGGTACGATGGGAAGGATAAGAAGAGCCTCGTCTCTTTTCACTAGTATTCATTCATTCGTGATGAGATAAAAGGCAATAAGGGAAATTCGAGGGTTTTTACTTAGTTCCTTGGTTTACTGACAGAAAGCAGATCAGCAATCATACACAAAACTTCAACTACGAGACGGTGGTTATGAAAAAGATGATACAAACATAGTCACAGTAAAAGATCACCTAAGATCTAGAACCATAGGTTTAGATTTCGTTGTTAAGATTTAGTCACGCGACACCCAGAGATCAGACAGATTACACGTTACAGATCAAAGGAGCGGGGGCTTAACAGGAAATGTAGACAATAAACTTACAGTACATAGGTACGTAAAACTAGTACTTATTACTCTGTGACATACATTTCATAAATACAGAAATGCCTATCCATTGAGAACCAAGGTAATATTTATTAATGGGAGAAGGTTGTTCACATTATCCTGATTGTTTCGCATTTTGTATTTGAACATTAGTTAGACAAACTACATGAACCGGTTTCAAAAGTAAAATGTAAATGTAAATCATTCCCTCTCGAGAAACTTATTTCCAAAGGCCCATCTTGATCAATGAACTACCATACACAGTTTATTATGGACAGTCTGATATTTTTATTCTGTTCAATAACAAGCTATTGCCCTCTTGCCCTCCTTGGCTCACTTTATCATTCGTGATCAGTAATCTGTCTGCCCCTTTGCCTCTATCACAGAAAAGTACGTATAAGTGACCAAAAATCTTTGGTATATAGGACCGTGAGTTTGCTTTAATTTGGTGCAAATCGGTCCCTAAGGAAGTCTCAAGAATCGAACTTAATAAGATTAACGGCTATCGTACTAATGAAAAGATTATCCACTGAGCTAAGTTGTTGACGAAACGTTCATAGGATGCGCGTAGAATTACTTAAGTAAGTACCTAATACATTAGGTGTAGGTGTGTTAATGGGGAGTAGTCTTTTTAGCGTTACAACGGCACCAAATTTTGATGTAGTGGTGATTAAAATTTCTAGGATTGTGCTTTTTAGAACCGCGAGGTGACGGCAGAGCTGAATGCAGGCGGCAGGCGGCGGCTATAACCACAGTGAACCACACCGTACACACCCGTAGGTATCATAAGAGTCATTTACGGGACTACAGATTTGACAGAGACTGGGTAGAAGAACTGCTTTCTGATATACCTACCCGAATTTTTAAACTGCTCTCCAAATCATAGCATACCCTCATACATATGTAGAGGAGACTCATAGTCTTGTTGAAGCAACTTTTTGTGTGATCCGCAAATTGTCACTGTAGGTAGGTATGTTTGTAAATGCACCCACGACACAGGAGAAAATCCTAGAGTGGGGCAACGTTTAAAAAAATAAAAAAAGTATGCAGTGAACTACGGGTTGCTGATCTCCTATAAATGTTGCTGGGCTGCAGATGATGACGACAGTGGTTTGTATTAACACAATGTACCTAAGTACCTAAGTATCTTCAATTATTACACATTGATTTTGCCTTCGATAGATCAATAAGTAATTGCGGTCATATAACGTAACAATGACAAAAGTAAATGCATTAGATGCACCAGTAGCAGTTAGTTAATATGCAAAGCAATCGATGACAATTGACTACCGACCGATGTTCATCGATCGATATCAATTGGTAAGTTATTTATCGAAACGGGTTGCGGTTTTCGATGGCCAGAAAGATTGATTGTTAGCTATTATTAGGTAAGTAAGAACACACAATCAAAGTCTTGATCAATTTGAACTTTTGCTTGATGAATTTGGATACGCGTATGCAATTGTTATTTAGATTGGTGCATAACGGTTGTTTGTAGCGCACGTTATGGCTAAAGCGGTCAAAGTTCGTTTTTGAATATTAGGGCACATGGATATTGCCAAAGAATAAGAATGTGGTGTTGAGTGTAAATGATAATTTTATTTGTGGTGTTAATAAAAGTAAGTTAATGGAAAACCACGATAATTAGAAAGGAGTAACAAAGTATTTAACCTTATCTATTTTATGTAGTTGTGAACACCACCGTAACACCTTCACTTGAGAATTTTTAGTGCACTTGATACCTATGAAGATTATTTACAATGAAAACCGTTTAATCAAGGATTTAGGAGACACCGTACCTTATTATTTCTCGAAAATATTTGCTGATCTTGCGCCCACCAACCCACCAATATATCGTCTGGGTCATGATGACTGGACCATGAGAGATGACAGAGACCAGACCAGCGAGAGACCCAGACAATATAACAGGGGTCAGTTATTTTTAGACAACAAAGGTTGTAACAAGTTAAAATAAAGAAGTTTCTACTAGACAATCTTTGGTTTGTACTCGTCAGGCGATGCTTACTCTTTACTCAGACGCAAAGAGTATATTAATTATAGTGGAACTCAGACGTCACTGTGACTTTTATTAAAACAGGTGCCTTGATGGCGCTCTCAAAATTTCGCTAAAATTTTTGTGTATGTGTCTGCGTACAGGAAAATGGCAGAAAGTCCTTCTAAGGACACACGATCTGTTTCTAACAAGAAAGGACCCTGCCCTTGGCTGTGTGATTTAGTCCCCTCGAACCTCCCACCGCCTGGACCAGCCCAGACAGTCTTACACCCTCGAAAGGATGTCTTTGTTCTGAAGGTAAAATTATCACTGTTTTAGAACATTGTGGGAATTTTTTTAAGTACCTGAGCTTAAAAATCTTACGTTATACATGATCTCTAAAATATTTTACAGCATCAATCCTTTACTTACCTACCCTACCTTTATGGACGTCTATTTTAATTTATTAGTTTCTTCTTCATAGCCTATTATGATAACATGTTGTGCCTAAGTTTAATTTTAAAAGAGCTTTCTGCATTCAAGTTTCGTTTTTACAGTAGTTCTAATAAATATTTTAAACTCGAAATTAATGGGCATAAATACGTTTACCAAATAGCTGCTCCTTTGGAATCCTCACAATCTCACCATCACCCTAATCAAGTTAAAAGTTAATCAATGTCATATATACAGGGTATTTCTTGTAAGGTGTCAAGCCGCTACGGTAGGTATGGAACCCTGCTACCAGCTAGTTGTGGCTGGACACCTTACAAGAAACACTCTGTATAATCACTACCCTTATATGGAATGATTTTTTACATTTCAGGTGGCTAAAGTAGGGCCAACTGGAGATCGGCGTTGTAAAATGGAACTTGAATTAGTGACGCCGAAGGGACCCGAAAAGAAACCACCATGTCGAATAGACACCAGAGAAACTCAGTGCGAACCAGATCCACCACCGTGTACATGTTGTACGAAGCCGAGAAAGAAGGGAAGAAGTTAAGACGCCTCGAAAATAAAAATCTCCTCTTCGCAAAATTATAATAGAACTGATATGAAATACGTATCTATATCTTACATCAAATAACCGTTCGGGACATGTGTTTTAGAAAAGATTGCTGGAAATAAACCCCATTAAACATAAATAACTAACTGTTTGTCTATAGTTCTGTACTAATATTATATAGAGGAAACATTTGCATGTACGTATTTATGTAACGTTTTTACGAAAAACTACTCCTTTGTTGACTTTCTCGTTGCAAGTGCAAGGGCAACTGTGCAAGTTTACATGTTTCAGTTTTAGCTTATTATATGAAGTGTGTATGTTCGTAAGTAAACATAAAGAGCGACGGATTTGGATGAGATATAATATGCCTACAAATAGGATAGATTAAAGTTTGAATAATTTTTATCCCGGGAACGCGGGCCAATCCCTCACAAGAAGCTAGTATATTCCTAATAATGGTTTCTTGACCGATATAATGGTTCTTCTAAGTATTTCCTTAAAAATGTTCTGCTATTGTTTGGGTGACTACTTAACGCCAAGATTATCTACTTAACGCCATCTATTTTTCTTAGCAGCAACTAACTGAAGAGTAAGAACTACGCTGTGTAAGTGTCTGTTATATATATCTACGCCCGAATACTGAAAGGCTACTCAATTTTAACTTGTACTTAAATATCGTGCCATCTCTGTCATTTTACAAAGAATTAGTAGTGGCAGAACTATATTTAAGCGTGGCTTAAAATTTGAGTGACGTTCAACGTTGAGTATTTCCGAAAACAGCTGTTTTCAACTCTCCGCATAAAAGTAAAACTTGTTTGTATTATAACTTTCGTGAGACATACTAAATAAATTATTATGTTTTCGGCTTACTCACGTAATTATTTGACAAAGAACTCGACTAGTTTCAAGCCATGCTAGAGGCTCATATTCATGAGCAGCATTTCGCGACCCGCGACGCGGCGACTGTCGCGCTGCTACTCTACTGAGTAAGCCGAAAACATGACAATTTAGGTAGTACTAGACAAACTTGACTAAAACTTTTCCACGTACCTACTTTTGTTGGGATATCGTGACAAATAGCACTTGACTATAATTGTATTGGTGAAGTACTGAAACATTCAGTTTACTATGAGGCTATTTTTCTATAAGTAAGGCAGGTTGCTTCGAATCAATCCGTGAGTAAATCATTGGGGGAGGCTTATGGGCAGCATACATATTGGGGCTCATAATAGTATGATTATCATTATAATCACAAGCGTACATAGGTCACAGTAACCGCTTACCATCAGATGGGCCGTGTGCCTGTTCATCCACCGTCGTGGTATAAAAAAAAAATTCAAGTGAGAGTGATAGGAGTCATTCGGCTAGAGATGGGTTGATATTTGCCCACGTACTTCTGTGGAACACAACCACTGAGAACCACATAACAATTGAGATGATGATGGTGATGATGCTCACATTGCAATTCTTGCATCTTATTCCGTGAAAGAGGTAAAAAATAATTTCGTTTGTTGTCCATAGTTACAAGGTCTTTAGTAAAAGCTGCGGTTGCTTGTAGTGTTACTGTCGTAAGTACCAGCACCAGTTATTGACGTTCATATGAAGTGAAAAGAAGTTCATGTCAAGAGCGTGCCCTTTACTCACATAGGGCCGCACGAACAAAAGAAATTTTCTCAATCACAATGTATGGATGGCCATTAGTACCTCGACTTGACGGCCAATTATTATGAGAAGATCTTTATAACCCAGGTTACCGGATGCCCAAATACTCCCCCGTTTTCTCCAATCCCTGACAATCTCCAACAACCCCTTAAATTCAAACTCCTGGTGTTTCAGGTGTCCATGGGCGGCGTCGATTGCTTACCATCAGGTGATCTGTCTGCTCGTTTACCGGCTTATCCCAAAAAACCATTGATTAGTTTCATTCGTTATTTCCATAACCTACTAAGTCCAGTGCCACTACTGCGCTAATTAGACTTACGGCCGAAATTAATAACCGATCTAGTAAACAATAACTATTTTCGTCCATAATCGATCTTGATCCAAAATCGATATTCATTTCTGACTAAAATGCCAATAATCGATATTATTCTACAGATTTCGGAACGAGACCGCTTATTTATTCGAGTGGTCAGACGACATATTTTTTTTAAAGTTTTGTGAAATGGTGCGTCTACATTTCGCAAACTACATTCAGACACATGCATTCCGCTAGTGTGGACCCACCATTAGGGTTCTATTACAAGTAGGTAAATATTAGCATTACAAATAACACTCTATTGGATATTAATTTTATTTGTGGAATGTCAAAGAAATTGTTGATAAACATCTCATTACTGTCGTTACTGGGTTTGTAGTATATGGATTTTTTACCATCTCCTATGCATTATACAGCTTCTCCTTGTGTGCCGACCGTGAATTTATTATCATTTATTTAACGCTGCTCAAAAATATTACCTAGGTTAACTTCAAAACACCACCGTATCTTAATAAAATGTAGTAGGGGTGTAGCGTGATTTTCTTTAGAAAATTTACTACTTATAAATTATAATACTTATTTTATTGTTTTAGAATAAAGTCCGACAGTGAGCGTCAACGCCCGTGCGCGCGGTGCAGTCAAGAGTTACAGTCGTGAAAGTAAAAAAAAAATTTTACTGCAAGAGCTTTGCTTAAACAATCAGTCAACTTTTGTAAGAAAATTCTTTGGATGACTTTAAGCAAAAATAAAATAGATATTTTGCACGTCGATAAAGATTTTACAATTCACAACCTAGTATACAAAAATGTTGTATTACTAGCGCCATCTTTCTGTGTGAAATAGAATTAACATTGTACATAATTATATAAAAAAGTAATTATAAAACTAAACGTGATATTTAAGTTTACACTACTAATAAATGGATAGCGCAGGGAGATTGTTTTTTTTCCGTCAGCTAAGTGTCAGGTATATCGTGAAATTTATTTGTCGAAGTGACTTAGAACAGTGACATGTAGAATAAGCGCGCAACATGTGTATGGTACTGACTGTCGCAGATTCGTCCTGAATACTTGCATCTGATTATTTTTATTATTATGCTAACAACATAAGTATTCAACAAATTTCACGAGGTGTATAGGATCATGATCATACACCTCGTAGAAGTTTTACTTCCAGAAAAATGATATCTTTATCTGCGTGAACGACATATATAATAACGCGCAGAAATTGGCTGACTAATTTTTTAGTTAAGTATCATATCTCACAAAATTTGAAGAATACCTACAAAAAACACTTAACGTAAATTTTTTTAGACGACTTCCACGTTCTATAATTCTTGACTATAACGGTTGTTAAACAGCTTAAACGCTCATTGTTCACAAGTATAAGGGGAGAACTAAAATTACTAATAAAATTTTCAGTAGCACCATAATCCTTTTTAAAAATAGCGCCACTTCCCTAACAGATATTTACTATAGTGATTTTAAAAAATAATTGCTCTTTTTTGGTTGATTTCATAAACAGCAGTTTGTGCAGTTACTCTTGCAACAATTGGGACTTAGCTTGTAGCGCGATGTCGAGCAACACTTTTGCGGAGTACATGGTGTTGGAATGCAACATTTCTGAGGCAAGCAGGGTGACTGGCAGCAACGAGGTGGACGTGGAATCACGCACGGTAACGGAAATGGTGGCATGTATGGTGACGGGCAGCATTTCCGAGGTGGGCAGGGTGTCACGTAGCATTTTCGAGGAGAGCATGGAAACATTGGGTAACACTTGCGAGGCCGATAGGGAAAGACTGAGCAACATTTTCTAGGTGGGCAGGGAGAAAGAGTGCAACAACCTTGACATGGGTCGGGCACGCTGCGACACCGCACCACTGGACATGTTTTGGCGCGATTGTAGCACGGAGAGAATAATTTTCGATGAGCTTTAATTTTAGGATGGCTGCGAATCTTGCGGGGTCTTTTATATCCAACAGGACACGGCCTTAAACAAGGTGAACTTTTGCAAGGTGTAGTGCAGGGTGAGCTACAACAATAATCCTTGCAGGGCGCTGCACATGGCCCACAGGGACTATTGCATGGCAGCGGTAAGCAAGGTGCTGGAGGACACGGCCGGCACTTTGGCGGAGATACGCACGGCCTGCATGCAGGAGGTGTTGCGCATCTGCCACATCGCGGCGCTGGTGAACAAGGCCTACATTTAGAAGCTGGTACACAAGGACTGCAAGGTTTGCAAGGTTTACAAGGTTTACGGGGCTTGCATTTCTTACATGGCGCCGGTCGGCATGGGTTTCGGCAAGGCGTTCTGCATCGCGTTCGGCATGGTGTTCGGCATGGTGTTCGGCATGGTGTTCGGCATGGTGTTCGGCATGGTGTTCGGCATGGTGTTCGGCATGGTGTTCGGCATGGTGTTCGGCATGGTATTCGGCATGGTGTTCGGCAAGGTGTTCTGCATGGCGTTCGGCATGGTGCTTTGCATGGCGTTTGGCATGGAGTTTGACATGGCGTTGGGCATGGAGTTTGACATGGCGTTCGGCATATCGTTTGGCATGGCGTCACGCATAGCGTCCGGCATGGCGTTATGCATGAAGTTCTACATGGTATTTTACATGGTACTTTGCAAGGGCTTTTGCAAGGCGATTTGCAAGGCGTTCTACAAGGCGTTCTGCACGGCGTTCGACACGGCGTTCTACATGGCGTTCGACAGGGCGGCCCGCATGGCCTTTTACAAGGTTTTTTACAGCATTTTGGGGGCCTACAAGGCGAGGGGCTGCAAGGTATCCTGCATCTTGACGGACGACAAAAAGGACCGGGAGGGCAGGACATGATACATGGTGACAAGCAATTAGGTGGGCGAGCTGGTGGTGGAGTCCATTCTAGCATTAGTTCATTCTTTGCAAGTGGAGCTCCATTCATCCTACGAATTACTAATTCAAAAACACCTCGGCGGGGATTTGTCATAGTGGATACTTTAACAGGCACCTGATCATCCTGACCTGATGCAGCAACCATACACTTTGGCCCTTGACATGGGTCTTTACCGTGAACTGGACATGGTTCTCGGGGTACAATTTTTATATGAGAGATAGTAGCAACCATATCTCCCTTGGTGGCACCAACAGTACCTGGGCAAGGTCTTACGTTAATTGATACCGTTTTGCCATTCGTAGGCCCACAACAGGATCTTCTAGTTTGTGCACCCATAGCGTTGTTTGGCATTTTTGCTTGTATGGAGGCGGTACTTGATGCTACTGGTTCACTCGCAGCAGTTGCAGTGTTTACAGTTTGTACTGTTTTTTTAGATCCCATCCCCTTACTATCATTCTTTTTTCCGAAATAATATATATCTGAATATCTTACGCGGCTATCCTGCATGGACTGCCTTCGGCTTCCAAAAGGTAATGTCGAAGAATTAAAAGTTGAACTATTACTGGTATTTTGGTCATAACAACAGGCGGTGTTATGGCTGGAGGCGTTAGTATGGGACGCTTGGAAACATTTGTTAACGGAAGCTGTGGCTTGTGTTCCCGAAGTGCGACGGCGGCAGAACTCATCAAACAGCGTCATATAAACAGTAGTTTCCTTTTTACCAAATATGCTCGTGGGTGTGATAGAGCGATGGCATCTCTTTCGGTGTTGCGTGAAGTGGCTGTAAGACTTCGAAACATAATCTATCTTGTCGGAAAACGATACGCTGCGCCTCTTAGACCTGATGGTACACAGAGAAGTTAGTGAATGATCTAACTTTGTTCGAAATGATTCATCTGAGAACTTTATTTTCTCGGGTAATGATTGTGAATAGTCTTCAACTACAGTCGTTGTTTCAGAACACGGTATTGATGATCCGATATTGAAGTCATTGAAGAAATGGTCTTCTATATGAAGCAGTTTCAATTCCTTTGCTGATTTTATTTTCGTTATTTGATCTTCCGTCAAATCTTGATAAATCGGGAAGCTCGGCAGGGCACCTAGGATGAGTTGACGACATTTTATTCATGTTAAAGATTATTTAAGTAACTAATCATTTTGGCACCTGTTTCAATATAACAGTACCTACCTATTGAATAAAACGCAATCTTCTAAAAAAAACAACCTGTTAACTTGAATATACATTTAATCCATATATTGTTACATAACGAAAATGTTACGTTGAAGTCAACGTTTAGGAGTTTTAGAAGTGGGACAACACTCTGGACAGGTAGGTAAACATTGCGCAGTTCGAGTGTCTACGGTAGGTATGACTTTTTCATTGTTAGTAACAGGTGTAATGAATTGGTATTCTAATTTTGATTTTCGCCCTGGCATCTCCATGGTCTTTCCAATGCGGAGCTTAATCACTTGTGGTGGAAAGTCATACACGACCCCGGGGTATTCCTCAGCCGTAGTTGGCACGAGCTGTTGCGGATCGTCCCGGGCTACATCTCCCACTCCGTCAGATGTGAAGTTAAAATGAGCTCGTTGCTTGTGGTTCATACCGCAGGTGTCCGAAGGCATTTGGAATACGACCTTGTTCCCCGGCGGGCAGCAATCTGCACAATTTGTTGATTTATCAGGGTAATATACAATTTAAAATTGAAATAATATTAATAATATAGAATATAAATAATTACTTAATGAAAGAAATTGTAAATTTTGAAACAATCAATAATAATAGTCAGTACCTATACATACATTGTATAGGTTTACGTTTTTAGTCTAATTTAGCGTTTCTTTTTGCTCCCTTTGCAATGTTTCATTCTTCGACAACAACAGTCGCATTCTGGGTCAGTTGCGATTCTCATGTTTGCTTTACGAACTGGTTGCTTCTTATCTGGACCCTTAGGTGTAACAAGTTCCAGTTCTAATTTACATTTTGTATCACCCTGCATAGCCGTTTTTGCCACTTTTAATACAAATACGTCTTTGTTCGGATACTCATTTTTCGCGTCACCTCGACTATATACAGCCTGGCCATGCTTTGCTGCTTGGATACATCCTTCTGTGGTACAAGTGAATTGTGTTTCTTGTGGTCGTATGCCTCGGCAACATATAGGCTCGGCTGGCAGAGCTAAACTTATTTTATTCTTTCCACAAGGTTGTATACAGGGTCCCTGGTCTGTTGTGTTTTTCGTATACGGGCATTGCATAGCACAGTGAGTTTGACTGATCTTCTTGATGACTGCTGCGCTGGCTGGTACTTTAATCTTTAGTTCGTTGCCACCCAAATTCGATCCTATCTCTTCAAATTGTTTACTGGGACCTGGCCATCAACAAATTGTTTCTCATGCATTCAGTTACTGTATAATTAACTGGCGTAATATACCTATTTTACAACATCTTGTCCAGAACATTAACCTATCATCATCCTAATCGTAGTTGAGGGGCACACAAACGCTAAATTGATAAAAATTATTGGATCAAAATTTTAAAGTTTGATGAATTTTGATCCAACAATTATGAACTATTGTCATTATTTTAGTCCTCACCTTTGGGAATATGTAAACAGTATTGTTCAGTGTTTCTGCACATCATTGGTGGTTTCGGAGGAGGCTTAGCGCCTGAACAGTAGCAAGGGTCATCTGGATCTTCACATGGCATAGTACTGTATGGATCTTGAGCTGAAAAAAATAGTATAAATAAAATTTCAATATGTAACAGTAAGTACTCTTTACCTGATAATTAATTCTTTAAAACAAAAGTCATACCAATTGGACAAACCCCGCGTCCACCAGGTGTCCTGCAGGGAGCGGTACAAGGTACTGAACCGTGTGCTCTACTGCTCGCAGCTGCTTGTGCGGCGCCACAAACACAAGGATCTTGAGACGTTTGGAATTCTCTCTTTGGATTACATGACCTGTCCACAATAGCAGGATCACGACCGCCTCCTAACTTAGGGGGTGCACTCGCACCTTGGAAACGTGTAATAATTAATTTTCCAAAGCAAGAGATGCGTAAAAACATGACTACTTCACCGGTCTCGCTTCCATCTGGACCGACGATACGAAATGAATCTTTCAAAGCTTCGTAGCTAACATTTGTTGGATCTTCTAAAAACTTTTTACGAGATTGTACAAATTCCTTTGTCATATCTATTACAGCTTCTCCCATTATGATTTTCGTAGGTAGACAACCGCATGGAAGTGACTTGAATACTGATACTTTTATAGGAAAGGTACTCATGGCTTTGCTAATGTCTCCTTCTTGAAGTGAAAACAGACATGATTTGCCGCTGTTGAAGGTTTTCACAAAAGGTCCTCCACTTTTAGCTACACATGCTCCAGGATCGTCATCACATATTTCTAACGGTTGGACTGATGGAACTTCTATAGTCACACAGGTCCTGAAGTCCTTGTCAGAAAAACAAGGACTCTTGACAAATACTATTTTGTCGATAAGTACTTCCAGGAGAAAGAGGCCATCATCCTGCTTCGCCATCGTTATGAAAGGGGATGGGAATTTTTAAGTTTAAATTTTTTTTTCAAAAGTGTTTTATCATATTTATAATTTTGACATTTCGTACAAACAAAAGAATATGTAACTATGTCACTGACAATAATACAATATTTTCTTCTACGCTTTGCTCTATGCTGGTATTGTGCAGGTTGTAATTGTCGCCCTACCACTGCGCTAACCTAAATACTCCACAATACAGAGGGGATATTGGGGCAATAGACGCAGGTGCTATTAGGAGTATGTCAGGAAGTCCCTGTGTCGCATAGGCAGTGAGCCCGACGTTTGCTGCCATGACCGTGTGCATTTTGAAGACCTGCTACTGCTGACTGTTGTACAGAAAATAGTCGGCAGTGTCCTACAAAAAACCGGTGTGAACAACGCTTGCATTGTATTTTGTTGTGTGAGTGAGGTTTCCAGAGTCCCAATGGTCGACAACACCCTTTTTTAATGGGCCCAGCCCGCCACAACCTCCTGCAATCGCTGTAAGTCTTGTAAGGCAGGCTCTATAGTCAATACAACCATGCAAATACCAGTACACTGAAGTCGCCGCGCATCCCAGGGACATAAATAACTATATTGGATCCGGCAACGAAATAAATCTGAAGATATTATTAGAGGAGAAGACAACCGCCGATAGTTTTCATTTCCCTTTCTGAATTTAATGCAGGCGACAGAACTATTAAAGCATAAAGGCAAAAGCAAGACTGCATAACTGGAAGAATCCCAGTCGTCATGCACCACGGAAATTTGTTTTATAACTAAGTAGGTATTATAGGTGAGCTACAACCATGCTGCAAGGCACTTCCTAACATCAGAGGATGTTATAAGTAATAGATACTTAGGGTGGCGTTTATTGCTTACTCCATCTGGTGATAAACATTTGCCTGACTCGTGTATCGCATAATCCTTGGCCACTAGTAGGATGTCCCGGCAGATGTATTTATGTATTTTGATTCTATGATAATGTTATATTCTATACTAGCTTTCACCCGCGGCTTCGCTCGCGTCACAAAAGGATAAAAAGTAGCCTATGTGACATATACCAATACACACAGCGCCATCTATACCAATACTTTGGTTTTCCCTCGGGAATATCACATTTTTCCGGTATAAAAAGTACCCTATTATTTAATCCGGACTTCTAACTTTACGTCTGCAAAAAATCAAAGCAATCGGTTTAGTAGTTACGGCGTGAAAGCGGAACAAACAAACAAACAAACAAACTCACTTTCCGATTTATAATATTAGTAAGGATTCTATTACGATACCGTTCTTCACTTGTTTTATATAGATATTTTTTTCAAAAATGTACATTGATAATATAGCTTTGGGGCCATCCATAATACAAAATGATAAAATGGGTGGCTAATGCTGGTCACAAACCTACCTACATTACAATACACTCGTGCAAATGTACACTTGTATTGGTAAGTATATCGCTACGTGGGTAGCTAACATCAAACCAAAAGCTCATTATAGGTATAACTTTATTACATTTTTTTTAAGAACAGCTTGATTATCGTAATACCAAAAATCAGTACAAATAAGTTATTTAACTAGAGAATTTGCGGACTATACATTCGTACTTAACCGGAGGGTAGTTTTTGTAGTACCAGTTGCATGCTTCGTTTTGAAATGGACGTCCAACACTGGAACAATTTCAGAAATGATACGTTTTTACTCTTTATCGAATTAGTGATCATCGACTGTGAAGGATAAAACGGCAAGTCGATGATGGATCATGAAAACAGGAGTTTGTCAAGTAAGAGAAAAATAGCTAGATCTTTATTGGCAAAGTGCAACTCTAAACCCTACAAAGATCTATAGCAGGAAGATAGAACAGGAGGTAGGAGGCGATTCGTTAGTTTGTTGAGAGAACCCGGTGATCACGATGAAGATTGAATTTCACAGAGTTTGTTCCTGTTTATGTTAATAACTCCCCAGTCATTAGTTATCCAGTTGTGGTAAAACTAACTTAAAAATAAATAGTTTGTTAATAATAGCGTAGGTAGTTGTTCCTTGTACGATAACGAGACTATATATAAGTAGGTACCAAAGACGTAAGTGTTGTTGGTTATTTAAATATATATTCCACATGGAAATTCAACACCGCGTTGGTCATCTTCCAAGTAACAGACAAGCAACAAAGGGTGTAGAGGACACAACCTTTTACATAAATAGAAAATAATACGGCTTTGTATAAAATATGATGGGGTAATTGACAGGTGCATTTACTTATCCATTGAGGCTCGAATTTCTTGGCGCGTCAAGGTGGCAGTCAGGTCTGGATAATACCTCCATCTCTTTTGTCCTGGATCCTTGGCCCACGCCAGTTGGAATGGCGTCAAGGGCGGTATGTGCAGCTTGCGACAGTCGCGACAGTGGGCGCTAAGAGGTTTCTGCACAACAATGCGTAAAAGCCTTACAGTTTGACACGTGTCTGTTTGGTACAACAAAGAAAACCCTTTTGTAACTTAAGTAACATATTTTTCATATCTTCATCTTTATTATTAGAGCATGAGTCACAGTTAATTACTTTTAGAAAAGGTTTTCATTTTTCAGGTGTGTTTATAAAGGGTAAATGTGAGAGCACAGCTCAGTTAACTTTATACCCTCCTGAATGAAAGATCATGTGAAGTAAATATTTAAAACAAGTCGAATTTTGTTTAAACTTGTTTTCGTACATCAGTTGCGTGTGTATAGGGCTAAAGTCCAAATAACATTTCAATTGTCTTTAAAAAAGTAAAGAAGGTAGTAATAATCATTTCAGCGTATTAATTTGTGACACTCAAACCTTTGCGCTAGTGTCCCGGCGGCCATTGTTGGTAAGTACTTATTGTAGCTATTACTTACATTTTTATTATAATGGAAATGAAACAAATCAATCATAGCCTTCATATCGACACCGGAAATTTCAATTGTCGTAAAGGACATTTTGCCGAAAATGAGTTATATATATATTTGGAATATCATTTATTGCTAAATTTCAAAGGCTGAATTTACTTTAAATTTAATATTTTTTTAGCAGTCAAGTTTTATTAATTAAACTTTTTTCTGCAAATAAACTAAGACTATTGATGATAATTGTTTTAGATTCAATTTAAAAAGTAGTTAGTAGATGAGTTTATTAGCTGATTATTCTAAAACTTCAGTTGTTTACTGCATCGCAACGATTACTAGAGATTTAAATTTTAAAAAGTTGCATAAATTTGTGAGTTCCTATTAGAATAATATTTTTGTTACTATCTTTTTACTAATTCTTTGAATAATAAATAAAAAATAATAAAAAAACTCTTGGTTTTACTACCCATTGTAGACATTTCTATTTAGAACTTTGGCTTTTTGTTCCTTTTACCTCCTTTAGTTTTTGATTTAAAAGACTTGTACTACCCATTGATGATCAAGAGTAATCTTTTACCACATATCTGACTTTACCAATACCAATTGTTCGTGGCTGTAGAATTCTTCAGTTATTTTTTTTTGGGTTGTAAAGGACACTAATTTTGGTAAATAATAAAGTTTGGTTTATTCTGTTAATTAATATGGATAGAACGTGAAAAAATAGTTAGGGTTTCTTTTAACGTCACAAAATAGCACTTTGTTTGAGAAAGATATAAGACAAAAACTTTTTTTTTGTTTTTTGGCTCTGCTGTAAACTCGCGTCCTTTACGACAATTGAAATTTCCGGTATCGATATTATTTTCACTATTTCATAAATTGTGAAAAGTGGGTGTCTCATTGTACAGTGGCATTAAGTGCCGTAATGTGCACCTCTGCCTACCCCCTAGGAGATAAGAGGCGTGATATTATGTTATGTCCTTGATATTATTTCATTACCGTGAGTCCGACAGTCCCGCTACTAACCCAACACTAGTAAATATATTTTTAACGGTGCTCCTATGTACTGAAAAGTGCGACATAATCTTTTAAATCATAATCGCATAGGACAAGTAAAAAATAATACATTTATAAAGAAAACGTCTAAATCAAGACCGTACGTATTTTTTCCTCTTGAATGACAGTCAGATAGATGGCAATCAATGTAAAAAATCTTACTTTTGATTTATCATCTGATTCTTTGAGGGCATCGCAAGCACGAGTTCTGCGGTACCTGACGCAGTCCAGGTCGTACTGGTACGAACGAGGAAATACATTCTGAGGAGCTGTAAACGTTAAGATTAAGAACTGTTTGTCTGTCAAACATTTTATAGTACTTGTGTGACACAAAATAATGGGCCGGGTTAAACGATATTTCGGCCTCACAGAAAACTAGCGGAAAAAATATTCTCGCTGTGTTTTGCCTTGTGAGTGGTTTTTTTATGGCATGAGCCGGTAAACGAGTAGACGGATAACCTGATGGTAAATAATAGGCGCCGCCCATGGACACCCGAAACACCAGAGGCGTTATAAGTGCGTTACCGGCCTTTTGGGAATTGGAAATTTGAGGATTGTGGGAAATTCGGGAAGACTGGGGAGGGGTGGTAATTTGGCCTCCGGTAACGTCACTCACACGACGAAACACAACACAAGCGTTGTTTCACGTCGATTTTATGTGAGGCCGTGGTATCGCTCCGGTCGAGCCGGACTATTCATGCCGAAATAAAGCTGTCCCACAATGGTATTCTAAATGTAAAACATGTTGACAACTCACTTGAAAGTCCTCTGGTGTTGCAGGTCGGTGACGATTGCTCACCATCAGGTGAAACGTATTCTCATTTCATCATTTGTCGCCCTATTCTATTAAAAAATATTCTTTAAATATCAATTTATTCTATCAATGTGTTATAATATGTATTGCAACAACAATATTCTGATATGGACGAAACTAAATTCATAGTATTTATAAAATCTTACTTGGATGCACAACTTCTGTGCATATTCCATACTGAATGTATGAATCATGTATGGTGTAGTCGTTGATGCCGGGCTTATCCACCCAGAAAGCCTTGTCTTTTTTAACCATCTGGTCTATAACTGCATCGGGAAGTTCGCTAATCGTCGGCCTAATAAAAAATATCTCATTTGAATATATACCTAATGTACGATTCGTACGCTTGTAGTTGATGTTAGAGCGTGTAGAGAAAAGATCAATCAGATAATGTGACTATAAAGTTTATTGCACCCAAGTTTGGTACAGTATAGGACAGCTGGCAATTCCTTTCTCATTACCTAGTTGTTTACTTCGTTATTAGTAGAAACACACTGCTCGATAATTACTTGAAGTATGATTATATACCTAAGGAATATCGCGCGATCGTACCGATCAGCAAAATATCTATGTAGCGTTGAAGACTGTACACCTAATAATTGTGTAAATATGTACATACTAAGAGTAAGTTTCTTTTCACATACGCAATTATCTTGAAAAGTTAAAGTAGGTATTTATTTCAATTAATTAATTTTTATTTAATTAATTAGGCACTTTTGAAATGTCAAAACGTTACAAATAAGTTTGGCTTGGGTAGGCGAAAGAGAGTGTCCGACTTGCTGATTAAATTCACCCCATTGATATCTACTCGTGCTTCGAGTTGGAGCCGCGGTTTTTTTTTTAACTCGTCGAGTACCGGTTTTATAGACACAATTAAAGAACAATAGGTCGCGGTCACCGGTGACCGCTTGGTGTTTGACAGATTAAGGGGCGAAAATCATCGAATAACTGCTCCCACCTAGGTGAGGCGGGAGGTGACTCTGGAGCCGCGGTAAAAGCCTTCCGCAGCCCCAGATTGCTTGCTTACCTTGCTGGCACTTCCGTTAGACTTTTAGTGAGTGGTATCAAATATTTGGCGATGCAACACTGAGTCAAGTGAGGTGGACATCCTGGTGTCAAGCACTCGTGCGTCTTAACGGTTCTGGATACATCGACTATAGCATAGCTGAAATTCATTAAATTAGTCAGAGACTGTCACGTTTACGCTTAGGTAGGTACTTCATTAGCGGGCTTTTTTTATCGAATGGCTGCTCCCGCCTGGGTGAGGCGGAAGGGAGTGTCAGACTCTTACTGAATAAAAACCACCCCGTTCCTTCTCCTGCACGTCGAGCCGGAGCCCCGGTTACCCGTTAGGTTCTCCGCGACTCATTAGCGGGCTAGGTGCGAAGTGAAGTCACCATCATCACCCTATTTGTTTCACTGTTGAGTAGTAGCGTCATACTGAGATGGAATCAAATGAGCTTTTATCACCATGCACAAGGCGGGTCGAATGACTATTGTGATAGAAGCCAAGATTAAGAATTACTGGATTGCACTTTATTAGTTTTCCGTGGTTCTTGTCTATCCGCATCACGAGACCTGACGGTCATGGGATCATGGGACTGACCAGTGACCAGGGACAATTAGGTAACCTCTCTTTTTTTGGCGGGAAACTCTGTGAACTTTATGGTACGTACGTCTGATTAAGTTTCAGAAAGCTGTATATTATAAAATAACATAACATAACACCACGCCTTTTATCCCCGAAGGGGTAGGCAGAGGTGCACATTATACCACTGTACAATGTAACATCCACTTTTCACTATTTATGTTATGAGTCCCATGTAATAGGGGGTGAGCCTATTGCCATATACCGGGCACAATTCCAGACTCCGTGCTACTACGGAGATTTTTTTTTAAAACCCAGTAGTACTTTGCTCGACCCGGGAATCGAACCCGAGACCCCTTGCCCGGCAGTCGCACTTGCGACCACTCGGCCAACGAGGCAGTCTATTATATTATGTAGGTAAGTATAATAAAAGCGCTTTATTATTTTTGACTAACACAGAAACTGTAAGTGTATTTATTATTTTCATTTCCTTCTCCTTCTTAAACGCAAAGGCAAGGTACTATAGCGCTCATTGCTCATTGGAAAACTCAACAATCCATAATATGTTCATAGTACCCATATCAATAAGTTCACATTTACTTTTTAGGATCGTAATCGCCGAATTTAGCGACATTACTTTTCGGATCGGCTGGATGGCCCGTCTTCCCAATATCTCCATGTTCAGGATATGTACTCATTATCACTGTAAAATTTTGAATCTAAAGTTAAAATAGGTACAAATGTAAACAAATAGCTGTCTTTATTTTGACGTTTAAAAGTTATTTTTTTGTTGTGCTGTTGCCTGTTGCACTAATTTGTTTATTTTTTTACAAATCTGAAATAAAACCTCATAGGTATGTTAAAAGATTGATACCACTGATTGATACCTTGGTTAAATAAGACTTAACGCAACTTACGTAAATTTTCAAGCAGATTTACGTGCGTGTACCTACTTTAAAATTAGACTTCAATATTATTATGTCCCACACTGCTCAGTCCTTATAGAATAAATATCACGATGTTAATTTTATTATACCCGATCAGGTTACTAAATGCATTACTCATATCGACTTCAATCTCAGCTTACCCTCCATACGCAAAAGGAAGGTGAGCCACATTTTACAATAAACAAACAAGAAGACTGAATCGTGAAAGGACCATAGAATAAAAAATAGGGAAATTGGATGCTCTTACAAACCCAACGCAAATATGGTTTAAGTGCATCAAAGTTAATATTAAGAATTCGTTTTCAGTTCCATTAAGTGACATTTCGACGAATTGATCTAAAAATAACTCACATACCTACCAACAACAACCTTATACGTACTGGTGAGGAAAAGTGGAACTAATGAAATCCTATACAAAATGAAGCAAAACCCTTACCACTAGCGCCACACTGAATTGCATGTTTCGGCGCTATTCCCATCGCGGGCTATTGATTTTCGTTTTGTACTCGATGTTACCACATTATAAAATAACAAAGTGATGTTCCAAGTAGTCGATTTTAGTACAAGAAATTCGATTCCATTTCGATTAAAAATCTTCAAAAAATTTACTTGGTCAAAGAAAGAACCAAAATGGAATGATTTTGTCGGTAAATAAAAATATGCATCAAGTATCTGCAATAAAACTCAAAACATTTTTATGTCAGAACAATGGGGACTACTGTATTTTTGCTCACCAGATGGCGCAAATGTAAGGAGAGTTTTTGTCCAATTACAGCAGCTGTCAAATATTTTAAGTCCAATGGTGTGACATTGGCTAATTCCCTATTGGATGAAGAATGGGAGGGGTACACTAGCGCCATCTGGTGAGCAAAAGTACGGTAGAACTCCATTGTATTCGTAGATTTTACTAAGCAATCCGAGTATTTTTTAAGTATTAATAAGTTATAACAACGTCATGGGTTTACAACCAGTTTATTTTTAACGAAAATAGTAAGAAATAATATACACTAGGAGGATCATTTATAAAATATATTTTTCTGTGTTTGTTGTAAATAAACAGTGTTTAAAAGAATTAATACCAATGAAACAACGTTTTCGTGGGTTTCAACCTTTTATAAATAGTAACTTTTAAATTCATGTAATAGAAAACAAATAATCGACTAAAATATATCGATATTATTCGATTATTAAAAATAATTTTCTCTGTTTACAACACTGATGTATCTTCATATCGAGACACGAAACGGTAGTAACAGTTCAAAACAATTTTTGCAGCGGCAGTGCGACTTGCGGTATCTTGTCGCGGCCCCGTGAAATTTGAGATTTTGAAATATTATTATAGTGATAACAATCATGATGAAGCAGAGAGAGAAACCGGTAAAAAAGGATAAAAAGAAGCAGTTGACTGAAGAAGATAAAGCGACTCCGCTTTGTTGTAAGTTTAATGAAATATATATTTTATTTTAGTGAAATAATACACTTGATTTTTTTAACTACTTTAATTTACAGTTGTTAGTTTTTTTATTAATTTTAAGTTCATATTTTCAATAAAATTGTTTTTATAGTGGCGGGAAAATTTATTTGAAATGGTAGGTAGGTTTTTTCTGAATAGAGGATCTAGCATGTAAAAGATAGGTGGTGAAGCCGCCTATTTGTGAATCTTCAGTTACCTACAAATTTGTATGATAAACTTTATTATTATTCATCATTATTAACAGCCCGTGAGAATGACCACCCACTGGACCACAGGTCTCCCCAATAGAAAAAGGTTTGGTTGGCGAGTTAAATAGCATATTAAAAGGATCGATCAGGTTTATCTCTGTTCTCTATCCCATCCCTAAGACAGATTTAATGCAGCCATGGGAAAAGAATAGCAATAGTGACAAATAAATCAGTTTCTAAATTATTCTAGAAAACCGATGAACGTGCTTGGCTAATCGGCTTGGTTTAACCTGACCAGTAGGTAAATGTTAGAGCTGGATGAAAAAGATTACTTTCGCCATAAGCAATGGTGGGATTAGAAATGGTCCCCTAATTGAGAGGTATACGTAGTAGGAGGAAGTGGTAAAAAATTAATATAAAATTAAGCAGGCACCCGATTCCACACCCATGTAGAGCGTTCTGGACATATATTGCAAAGGTAGAAAACTCGATACATTTAGGGCTCTGGGGCCATGCCCCAGCAGAATTTTGGGTACCGCGCAGCCGTAAATGTCAATAAAATGGCGGACATCCATTGCCACACCCAAGTAGAGTGTGTCGGATATTGAATAGTTATATAAAGTCTCATTTCAATAATTAGCTTCATATCTATTGTAGCTGGGAGGCTGTGGAGGGCTTGAACCTTAAACAAATGGTATTGGTGTGTGTGATTACGCCCTTTTGTGGGTACCGTTATAAGCAGCGCACTATAATATAAAAGTCAGCAGCAGTTAGAGACAGCTGGTATAAAATAATTAAATTTGTGGGTCTAATAATATAAACATTCCTTAGGTAATGCATATAGACAAATGTTTATAAAATCTAACTAAAAATCCTAATCCGTTTTACTCATAATATAACTGTTATCTAGGTACTGATTTCATACACCTATATTAGAAACACTTTATGATTCAAAATTCTTTTTTAATTATATCTATACGAATTTTTGGTGACCATATTTTGGTGAATTTTGGTGACAATATGTGTGAGAAAAATTACCATAATTTGGATGTAAGTAAACTCTCAATAATTTCTATAAAATACATTATAAAATTTGCGACATGTCGGGGAATTCCGTGACTTGGTGACTGCTAGCTACATAGGTAAGGTAAATAGTAAGATATAGGTAAAGTAAGGTCACAGCTAATAGTGACGCGCTACACGTTTCTTTATTTACAGATAATTTAGAAAGTGCAACACCAGCCTTCGTCTATTTCTCACTCACACACTCATCATCGTGTGTGAGATGTTATTGAAAACCTATGTTTTGCATTTGCTTTGCATTGTTAATTAAATGTTTTATATTTAGTTGTAATTTTAAGCTATAGGAATTAAAATACATTAAAAAAAGTTGAATATTTGATTATAATAATAAAAGACTAAAGTCTTTGTAATGGGTCTAAAATTAATGTCTAAAATTATGTTATTATAAAAAAAAATGTTTGGCAACCCTGGCTAAATAAAATAATAAAAATGTACTAACTTCCTAGCAAGTTTATTAACAAATAACAACAGCTTAATAACTTATCACAAAATATTTAATTTTAGGCGATTAAAAAGAACAAAACATTGTTTCTGTGGAAAAAGTGTGCTTGCAACACTAATGCTATATCGAAAAAAATAGAAAAATATTAGTGCCCGTGGTATGGTGAACGTTTATCGTTTCTGAATGTACAAACTTCACAATCTCAAAACATTGTTAATATGTGACTCATAATAGTTTCATTGTCAAGTTATCAATATTAAAAATAATGTCCAGAAATATAGTTTTTGAAGGGTGGTTAACAAAGTCTCCACCAAACAGGCGTATTTGGCGAACGGTGAGCTCAACTTTAGCTTGGCATTTTGCTTTTGTTGACAGAGTAAGTGAATATCGAGTTGGACTAAACACGCTGAGATATACTCCCAGCTGGAGATTTGTATAGCTATTTGCAAGAGGTAACTTGGGCAATTGGTTTAGTTTCGTTTTTGTACCACAGAGATGGCGCAGACGCTGGTTTGCCTTGCGGCAGTCTGGCGAGCTCCCTGGCCAGTATTTTTTAGATTACTATGCGGATCGGAACTGCCGTCGTCTCAAGGGCACAATCGATCTGGACCTTTGTGAACAAGTAAGTGCATAAAAGTGAATGTAAATATCTATTTATATTGTTATCTCTAACAAAGTATCACAGTAGAAAGCTACAAGTGGAATTAGGGGTTTATAACTAATAGAACTTGTACTAATTGGCTTTATTTATATTAATTAATAAGTGCATTATCTATGACAGTTTAGTAAGATGAAAAAACACAGTGAATGATGGTGGTAATGTTCATAAAGTCATAATATTTGTTTTGTGAAAAGGTAACCAAACTCAGTGAATAAGAATGAAGTTAGTTTGGATGCCTGTGGCTGTATGAAGTACATTGGGAATTTAGAAACCGGTAATGGTAAATAAGGTTTATTTTGCTAATATGCTACAAAATAGCAGTTTTACATGTCAATATTAAAATAACATTGGATGAGTTCGGCACTACTTTACTAGTTCTTATAAGAAACTTCAAGATAACTCAGATTTTACAATAATTTTGTCACTGGTGATATTACTGGTAGTTCTACATTACTTAGCACATTAGTAAATGCTTGGGGAATAAAGTTCATCTAATGTAACCATTACCTAGGTACCAATGTACCATATAGAATAAACAATCTCATCATAATCTAGTTAGAAAATATTTTTGTTTGTTTACCTTAAAAGTTTAGATTAAAACTAATATAGAAATATATTTCTTTTTGTAATATTACCTACAATTTTTCAATTTATCTTGATACATTTTATTGAATCTGATATTTAAAAAAAGAATAGTGTTTTCCCACATAGATATCAGCTTGCCGATAAAAACTTGAATATGGTTTCTACTTTAGTTTAGTTTCAACCTTATCCTAGAGATTCTCAGAGTGCTAATGAATGATTCAGCGCCCTTCTTTGAAATTATGCTTAGCTTGTATTACAGCATAATATGTTATTGTTAATTTTCTTGATAATCATTTTGCTGATGTCTCTCAAAACATGCAAGTCAGTGTATGTACCACTGTAGATGTCCAAATAGACAGTCATCAGTAATTAAGTACATTAGTTGTAGCCATTCTGTTTCGAGAGTAAAATTCACATTAAATTAGTAATAATATTATCAAGGTACAAATGTACTTAAAGCAACTAATCCCTGGCTTGATAAATTAACTAATTTTGGTGAAAAAATTATATTATATTGGTGAATGGTAAATATTACTAAACAAATTATTTTTTTATTAGGTTTAGCTACTAATAAATGTAACATTTTTGTTGCTTATGACTCATTAACACTATAATTTTAAACAGTGCTTCTAATAATATCCTTTTGTGTTCAATTTATGTTTAGTTTCCCCTTAATATTGAAACTTTTCCTTTACCTTATGAGTTATGCCTGTGTTAGGTAGCTATCGACAAACAGTGGTTATAGAATAAAAATAATTGGTCAAGACACAGCAAGCTTGTTTATGATTTGACAGGGACATTAATACCATATTCCAATATTTAATTATTGCAAAAATTGACTATAATATTTACGATCAAATTGTATTACTGATATACACCGTAGGTATTTGTTAAACATGTGGATTACCTACCTTTATCTTACTGGTTTTGTACTGTATTACAATATTATTCTGACTACATATTAATTGCTCTGAAAGAGAATATTAGTGCCACAGAACAGCTTGATAGTTAGGCCAAGGTTGGTATAAAATGTTGTTTTATTTATTTTCTTTAGAGTACTTGTAAAATTGCTTCCGTGAGAGCTGTGACGGATAGCAATTGTAGATTATTTTTGTTATATTTTAGTAGATTCTTAGATTCTCTTTCAGATAACACAGGCTAACTGACAAAGGTAGGATTTTAGTTAAATGTAATTTATAATAATAGGTTGATGCTGGTCTTCATATGGAACGGCACGGACAGGCTCCGTTCAACCCTAGTATCCGAGGATCTGTCTTCACAATTCAAACTCAGCGAAGAACATACCACTTAGAGGCTGATTGTGAAGCAGAAATGGAGAAGTGGGTGGATGCCATTTGCCGAGTCTGTGGTCTTCGTGCCACACTTGATGTTCCCGCTGGTGGTTCCAGACATAGTAATGTCATTGGTATGTCATTTATCATTTCTTCAAATTTCATGGTGGTGGTGTATCTTATAAGTATATTATACTTTGATATTGTTTACTGCAATGCGAATAAGAAGTCTTCAAATAACTTGAAATTATTTGATATCATTGATTATTTTGTGATGAGTTGTGCCATGCATAACATTATTCAACAGTAGAACAAGCTTAAAGCGGAATAAGAGTTTATTAATGTCTACAAAACACTCCTTCTTTTCAAAAAAAATTTTTCTATTATTAAGAAAAATAATAGTGGTGGGATGTTGTAGTTAGAGAAACTGGTTAGAAAAAAAAAATTTTGAAATAGTTAAAACGACCCAAAGACAATGCGCTGGTGCAAGGGTGGCCAACAATCCCACAGGCTAAATAAAACTCAAAGCTTTAAATGCTGCAAAGGCTACTCAATTTTAAATTGCATCTAAATATAGTGCCATCTCGTGTCATTTTACAATTAATTGAGTAACATTTCATTATTCGGGCAATAGTATTGTAGGGCCTGGTGCTGTAGTCAAATGCCATTTAGCGCTTGTCTACATGTAGAATAGAAACCCAAATTGTATGGAATTGACGTAAATTTTGACACTTGTCCGTGTCATCCCCATACATTTAGTTTTCTACTCTCTCTGTAGACGAGCGCTATAGTGTCGTTTGGCTAAAGGCACTGTTGCGGCATAAATTTCTGTTACCTTTTGCGATATATGTCAAATTATTCCAATTGGGTACTTGCTAGCGAATCAAATTCAATACATTTTCGAACTGTCAAAAAACATAAATACGGTCGAATTGAGTACTTCTTCTTTTTTTAAATTCGGTTAAAAACAGTTTTCTATGAATTTTATACGAAACTGTGTATAGTGACGTCACGTTTTTTTGGTCAAACAACATACAAAAAAATAAATACATAACAAAAATTTGTTAGACAAATACTAAAATTAAGTTGGTCATAAAATCAATTAATCAAAGTGTGATTATTTTTTTTATATTTTATTGTATTGAACAGTCGAAATAATTTATTTTTGAAGAAGGCAAGTTCCCAATTAGACTATACGACAGAAACTAAACCGAAAGTGACCCAGGGCCAAATTATTAATTAGACCATAATGTAAAATTAGTAAAAGTTCTTTGTAACTAACCGCCTGAAAGAAATGTGTGAATGTGCTAGCAATCATCGCTTTGCTCTACCACTATTGAATAAACAAAACGGGGAAAGACAAGTCGATCGCGATCGATCGGTTGGCCACCCGTGCTCAAAGCGACATTCAAACTATCACCGCGAATGAATTTATTCTATTACAACTTTAAATTAAATATTTATTCTTGCTATTGCTTTTAAATCACGACTTCTGATTAATTGAACATTTATTTTGTCTCAGACCACATGTTTTCTGAGAGGAACGACAAGTCAGGTCGTGTAACAAAGGTAACAAGTAATGTTTAATAGAAGAATATCAGTCCGAGTTTGGGAATGTTAGTTCTAGTTACATCATGTCTCGTGTAGTAGTTAGTTTTTTTATGTACTTAATGCAAGTTTTGAAATATATAAATATTACTTTTAATTTACAGCTGTTAAAACAAAAGGGTTAAAAAATAAAGCAGTGTGCAAAACAGCTTTCGATGTTTGTTATAAAAGAAACTGATGGCCGAATATGCTGAAGTACTTAATCAATTCGGACAAATTGCTAAAGAGCGATTTTTTCTGTTATGTTCTGCTTTAAGCTGATGCATTTTAAATGGTTATTGCGCAAATACGTAAAGCGAATGAGCTGTTTTTTATTTTCAGAACACTTCAATTATTCGGCCATCAGCGATTGTGTTGTGTTACACAATTAGTGTGAAATTTAATAATAAAAAATCTGAACAATCAATCTACAACCTGTGTTTCCGTTTATTCAATTAATTGAATGTATTCTACAAAGGTTCTACAAAATAGATGTGTCCAAATCAAAGTTGTTTCTTATATTAAATGTAACTAAAATATTTAGAGGTCCGTGGAAGTCTGCATCAAACTGCGACATTAGCATCCGTAAAGAGAAAAAAAAATTTTGGTCACTTTGCTCTCATTCATATGAACCTCTACAGGAGTCATTTTCAACCGTTTAACTATCTGAGAACGGCCAGCGTTTGCTATTTTTGATGGTTCAAAAGTTAAGAGCGATATTTGTTATTGCTATATTGTTTAATATTTTAATGTATATTGCTCAAAGAAAATATTGTAAAAGTGATTAATGACGGGTATCAATGTTTTTTTCTTTCTAAACGTTGCACAGTCAGCATTATACTCAGGATGCTAAAATAATTAGATGACGACCAAAATTCTCAATAATATCGGTACAAATAAAGTAATCGTTGAATTTATTACTTAGTATACAAATCATACTCGCTACCTCATGACCAAGGAGGGTTGAAAAAAACACAATAATATTATAACTTTTGAACGGCTAAAAAGAATGGCCTAAAGCCCAGAGTCGATTAAAATCATTCATGAATATTATAGTAGACTAAAATGATAGACGATAAGTAAGAGGTCTCAAATTCGCCATTCGTTTTGGGTAAAAACAATAACCGAATGGGCCAGCCGCCTGTAGAGTATATTACAATTTTGTATAGCAGGGCGTTTGACTGTATTATTGTTTTGTTACTGTGTTTGTTACTAATGAAAGAAAATAATGAAGAACACAGATAAGGCATTACATTTATTAGAATTACAAGCGAATTCCCCAAACCTAAAGGTTTTGCCAAAATTATCGTAAAATGAAGTAATTTTGTCGCCAAAACCAGGACGTACAAACTGATTAAGTCTGCAGAAATATCATACAAAGCGATATATTATAGTACCTATATATAATGTTATACTGCTGATTATGTCTTACTACTTGATGATACTTTCATCGAAAACAATTGTTTAAACCTTTGAGTGCCTTCATTATAGACACAATTAAAGAACAATAGGTTGCGGTCACCAGTGTCCTCGTGGTGTTTGACAGTTTAATTTGGGATATACCTAATGTGTGTACCTTTTCTGTTGGCGGATACCACTGTGTCACTGTCTCCACTCTATGCACCTGTGGCTCGAAAGGTCCGCCTGCATGAAACGCCTCCTCAACCCGTTTTGTGCCCTCTCGCGATCCCGCTCAGCAGCCTCCTTTTGGGACATTACAGTCTCACAAAACGAGGCCACTTCTGTCCAATTTTCTGCCTCTGTCAGCATAGCCCTAAATACTGCAGCTGGCAGAGTCAGGTCTCGCCCTATCCTGATAACTAAGACCCGCCGCTCACCTACTATACCTATATAGCTTATTTTTTTTTGTTGACGGGGGAAACCTTCAAAAGGCGCCTAACTTTTTTAGGGAAAAAAGACTAGGGAGTGTGGGATTTTTACCTCACTAAAACCTTCCCGGTGGCCACCATCCGCACCTGAAAGAGGCACCGGGTCCTCTTAGTAGACCAACCCCGGAGCCCCCACGGTGCAACGCCTGTTACGGCACCTCCCAACTATACCTATATAGCTACTGTACCGTGCCACATAAATATTTTTTATCGGTTCTGGGTTCTAACTTCAATATTTTCTGGGGTAAACCTGTTGGAAATGATTTTTTCTATGCCCCTGTTCTATTTCGATCTGGACTTCTTGCGACACCCCACATAGCTGCTGATAGGTACATTTATGCATGAGTTAAAGAAATAAGTACATTTATAAATAAACTTGGTTACAGGGTAAGCCGACCTAAATCCTTTATAGGGGTTCCTTTTAAAAGATCTAGGTTGATTAACCTGTAACCTGTATTTGAATGAAAACTTTTTTTCAAGAAACCGCAGCAGAGTTAGTTAACTTTTGTATGAACACATTTTTTAAGTTTGTTTGTACAAATAATTATATCTTGATTTGTTATGATTAATTTCCAAACAGTTGTAGAAACGTGATTCAAAAATAATAGTTGAATATTCGCTTCTGAGAGTTAGTTCTTAATTTACAAATACGTTAATTGCTTTTTTATAATCAGATTTCTTTGGTAAGTTTAAAACAACACCTACATAAAAGCATTCAAAACAACAAAAACCATTTAACCCACGTTTGATAAATATAGCGTAAATCGTTATTATATTTTATACATGGTTCAGTTGTATGGGATTGTAACAAGTAGGAAGGAATGTAACACCACGCTTCCGACTCTCAAGGGGAACCTGGGGATACACCCTTAAATTATAACACTAACCAGAGAATCATTGACGTCATTTAACTATTTGTCAAATGATACATTCACATAGGTTTCGCCCGCCCCACCACCCTTAGTTCAGTATACTCGATTTTAAAACTCACTACATTTATTAATTGTTTTAAAATCACTTTGCCGCTGTATTAATAAAGTATAATTGTCCGTTGAATTACTTTTACGTACCGTCAATTACGTATGTCTATATTAAAATCTCCCAGCCATTCCGTTTTTAAATGTGGTAATCGAAGGGCTCCTACACAGTAACCTACCCAATAGCTCTGAGAATTATGATATCTAATATTTGTTTTGATTTTTTTACTTTTACGTAACATTTGTTGACGTCACTAGACGTGACTATTATTAGCTATTATTTCGAATTAAGTGTATCATTTTTGTTATGACTTTGTACCCACATATTTTCTGATGAATCGCCCCATCATCTCAGTCACTATCTTTCTATCAAAACGATAAAACGTCTTCTAACAGTAAACCTTGTCAGTCGCGCCAGTTGTGTTTAAAAGTTTTTTTATGTTAGTGATTAGTGGTGGCACTAAACACGGTTATTATTTTCATATCTAACTAATACTTTATACATATTTAACGTTTGCGTGATTTCATGTAAGGTTTGCTTTTAGAGGACTTAGATTTAAAGTTTCATAGTTTTTATTATCATTTTAGATTTTTTATATATGTGGTCTATATCATGATGAAGTAATAATTTAAATATCGTTTTACAGATCCTAGCAGCGGTCACGCGACAATAAATATGAGTGACAATAGTGAGTGCCCCGACGGTACGGGCCCATACATCCCCATCTCCGAGTGCATCACAGGCGTTCGTGCTCAAGTAAGTCCAATAATTGCTTTGACTTTGACGTATTCTGAATGTGAAACGTGCTGGTACTATGTCCATCTTAGTCCCCTTTGAGTTAATCGAGAAAATGTGTCTGAAAATAGACCCGAGGCACAGAACACTAGCGCCCTATTAGCGTTGCGCTGCAATTGTTACACTCGTTTATCGTTTACCTACTGCATCTTCCCCACTTGAATCTCGAGATTTGATCTGCGTATTGTAGTTTACGATGTTTACATGTAAGATCTGTATCTTTTTGAATAATGCACGCGCCACGCACCAAAAGGATGTTGATGCAATGAAGTAACTGTACATTTTCATAACATTTCAATTTGTAATCATGCGAATGTCAGGGGTGAGATTGAGGTGTGTACTGTGTACATATACATAATTATGTGTCAAAGGAAATGTATATTATCCGTTATTGTATACAATTCCTACTAAATAAGTAAAATGTATGTAACTAATTCCTAAATGTATTAAATTATGTTTAAAATAATATTTTATACATTTCCTAGTTTTGGCGTTCTATACATGTCCAAGGATACTTATGCAATTCCTAGATTTCATATTATTCCGCTAACATCTGTGTATTAAAAGAGCTGGCTCTAGATTTTAAACACTTTCAATAAATTCAGGCATGACTTCTCGAAACTCTTTAAAATCCGGTTAAAGTCCGTAAGTCTGCGAAACTATTTAAAATACGGTTAAAGTCTGCTATTGGGAATATGTCGGCGACAATTACTGGTACGTTGGATTACATTACCGTGTTTTTTTTCCGGCGAAGCCCACGTAGACCCCGAAACGCCAGGGCCTTTATACTTAAACTTGCAACGTTTTGGCGGATACGAATTTGAGGATTGTTGGGAATTCGGGGATTGGGGATATTGGGAAAAGGGTAAATGGGCCTCCGGTAACTTACTTACACTACGAATCCCAATGGAAGCGTTGTTTCACGTCTCTTTTCAATGACACCGTGTTGATATCACTGCTGTCGAGCCGGCCCATTCGTGCCGAAGCATAGCTTTTCACAGTTAAAAGCTAGAGCGAGCGCCACCAAAGCGTGTGTATAAAGTAGGTAGAGCCGGCGATGCCGCTGCATTGTAGCCTTGTTGTAAGAGATGAGGTGAACGCAGAGTAAATACGTCGTTATATTGAATACTCGATAATTTGTGTAGCGAAATAGTGAAATATAACATTAAAAAAAAATATTTTAACTTTAAAAAATATGATAATACATGAGACGATTTTAATCGATTCCTAACTGATCTTATTTACATTTACTTTCAGTATTTTTACGTCGCGTGTTCGTTTTGATTGTTACTTTTTTTTTTGGTTAGCGTTGACTCAAAGTCTAAGTCAGAGCTTATTTGGCCGAATATTGTAATCAATAGAAGTATTTCACATAATATGTCAATAGTTAATTATTATCACTTGTCCGTAATCGGATAAGTAATAAAACAATGTCGGCTGCCCGCCCCCCACCGATGCAAAATTAGCAACATTGTCACAAAGGCGCGCGGAAAATGCAGGAAAAGTCAGACAACCTAAAATTCAGAACAACTAAGCTTAGATTTTTGAAATGGACGTGTAATTAAAAATTGTTCTTACGGATGTAGCTGTGCGCTGCTTACACTTGTCTGTGCAAGGTTTTGTACCAGTTTTTTTGAATTGAAATAGTTTAGGGTTTGTACGAAATACGACAGATGTTTTGCTTTTTTATCGTTTGTGTGAGATTTCTGAACAAAATAACATTAAACTAGGCTGTAGCTATATCCGTTATATTAAAAACATGGAATATTGTTTTGTTCTACATCTTGATCGTTCGAAGGGTTCATAGTTGCAGTGACCTCAAGTTGAATAATGCATGCGTACAACGGTTCAATGTCAAGTTACAGCCGCGCAGACCAAACCGATCGATGATGACTATGTCGGACTATTATATTATTAATGTTCTTGATTCACTGGACTTCCTCATTAGCCGAGTGGTCGCAACTGCGACTGCGGGCAATGGGTCCCGGGTTCGATTGCCCGGTTGGGAAAAGTATTACCTACTGTTTTTTTTTTCAGTGGTAGCACGGAGTCTGGTAATTTGCCCGGTATATAGCAATAGACTCATCCCCTATTACATGGGACTCGTAACATACATAGTGAAAAGTAGATGTTACATTGTACAGTGGCATAATGTACACCTCTGCCTACAACTTCGGGGATAAAAGGCGTGATGTTATGTTATGGTTTCGAGTTTTCTTCAGGCGCCGATGGCATTAAATGAGGCGAATTGATTTTTTACTCTAAAGAAAAGTACGTAAGTAACTCTCAATTCTTGAACAAACTTCTGTCTCAATTCCTTGCAAGGAGCCAGCTCCAAATCTCCTGAGTGAAAAAAAGCCTAATGCATATCTTCTCCAAACCCACTTATGTTTTAACTTACAATATTATGTAAGTTAAAACATAACTGGGTTAAAACATAACAGTAGTCAAAAATATAGAAACGCACTGAAATCATCGATGACACTTGAACCAAGAAATTACGAGATTAACCAATCAGGACTCTAAACGGCTTATGACCATGACAGCCAATCTCGGAACCTTGGTAAACTGCGCAGTCCTTTGTAATCGTGTATATGCGCAATATCGATGCACTCCCTGTTCCTGCATTTTTTTATTTTGCTGGGACGACATCTCGCATTGCCGTTAAAGGTCACGCGGAACCAATAAATGTTACACTTTTAAAGTGCAATTACAAAATTTTAACGATTCACTATTACTTGATAGATTTTGTGTTTGATAAAGATATTATTGTGACCTCGGATTTTGAATCATGGACTTAAGAAACCAGATTAGTTCTATCAATCTAATAAAAATAAATAAGTAGATTTCTATGTCCATTTTCACCAATCTCCTAAATTTTAAGGAACTCCTAAGCTAAGATAGGTTTCATTTAACGACATTCTTGTTTTAACCTACCTAAGGTAAGGTACCTAACAGTACAAAAATGGGCTCGCTGCCATTGCAGCGGTAAGTCCCCTCTTTGAGGAGTGGCTTGAGAGACGCTACGGCGTCCTCACCTACCGCCTGACGCAGGTCCTCACCGGACATGGAAGTTTCGGGAGGTACCTGTGTCTGATGGGGCGGGAGGAAACGCCCGGGTGTCATCACTGCGAGGACCGCCCTGAGGACACGGTGGAACACACAGTGGGAGAATGCCCTGCGTGGGCTGAGCACCGCCGTGCCCTCAGGGAAGTGATCGGCGATGGCGACCTCTCGCGTCCGGGCCTAGTGCAGGCCATCCATCAGAAACGCTGCCTCCTCGCAACCTAGTCATCGCGGAGGACACTCCACGCGTCGGGGATCGCGGGACGATCTCCGGCCACCGTAAGCGCGGGCCTTCGGACGGCGAGCATGGGTGGCTCGCCGCCCGACCATAACTAGACCCGAGCGTACGGGTCATCGCGTTCCGCGCGTGCCTCAAAGAGCCGTCAGACCACCACGAATGGGGCTTAATAGGGCTGATGCCGATACAGAGCCGCGGAAAACCTAACGGGTTACCGGGGCTCCGGCTCGAAGGGCATGAGTAGGAACGGGGTGATTTTTAGTCCGTAAGAGTCGGATACTCCCTCCCCCTCCCGCCTCACCCAGGCGGGAGAAGTCATTCAATGATTTTCCCCCCTTAAAAAAACGCCTTACTGTTATATTCGGTAAAGGTATTGTATGTATAGAAATAAAACAAAAACAATGGTTAGCGAGTGAACTGATAAATGCTACTAAAATTGTGATCCCATGCAGCCTACACTACTTAACAATGAGAATATTCAATAAACTTCCCCGGGTATTAAAAACGAAATAAAATTTCCAAATTCAATAATCAACTAAAATTTGTCCTCGTAAAATAGTTTTTAATCTATAAATAGCTACTTAAATCGACCACCGCTATAAGGACCAATCAGGGAGATGATAATAATTAAACCGATTTTATATCATCATCATCATCATCATCATCATATCAGCCGCATGACGTCCACTGCTGAACATAGGCCTCCCCCAATGACTTCCAGATAGGCCGGTTGGAAGCGACCTGCATCCAGCGGGTCCTTGCGACCTTAATGCGATTTTATATAACTAGCTTTTATTTAAAGATTAGTAAGAAACTAAAATAATTAATGAACCACTATTCTAATATCAAAATTGTATCGACGATCAAATGGCACCACGCGATTGCCAAGGTTCCAACTATAGACTTACACTATATGCAGAACATACACACATTGAAGCTAAGGACATTAGTCGGTTCCTTAAATCTGGTAACCGTGGTAACCCATTACACACGCATACATAAATAACTTGACATTTTGGTGCTTCAATACTTTTTAAGTGATATTATGTCCGCCTTATTTTCATCGTCCTTGGTAAAAGTCCACTAAATTGTATTAGGACCTTTTGTGCACTTACTAAGCTATATGTGACGTTTTTGACTCGTATTCCCAAGCCTTCTTTATATCAGTGCGTAAAATAATTTATCTTTAATAACAAGGAATCTTATTTACATCTGTGCAGGCCGGCCTCACGTTGTACTTTCCTTGACCTAATTACGAATGCAGCAAAATAAAATATACCTAGTTGTATCGGTCAAAGCGTCCTTCAGTTATATAAATTACTATTGATGTTTGTTGTTTGTGCACATAAATATTTAACTTCACTTTACGCCTCTTACTTGGGAGAATTGTTGCTGTTGTGCAGTAGTTTTTGACTAAAGGTTGTTATTATGGGAAAAGGATGATGAACAGAATTTACCTACTGACCAATAATAACCAGACGTATGTCGTTAGAAAGCTCTTTTCATGACTATAATTTGTTATTTTGGGGGCTGGTCTCAATTCGTAGTGGGGAAATTGTTATAATTACTTAAATGATCTATTGAACAAAGGATTATCCTTTGTTCAATAGCCAACCATATGTATGGAGTCCGCACCCACCCCTCAATAACAACATAAGATACACCATTGGATAAGGCTTCTTAAATGGAACAATAGTTGCGAAATCACACAACATAACATAACATCACGCCTTTTATCCCCGAAGGGGTAGGAGAGGTGCACACAGAAGTAACACCCACTTTTCACTATTTATGTTATGAGTCCTATGTAACAGCGGGTTATCCTATTGCTACATACCGGGCACATTTCCAGACTACGTGCTACTACTGAGATTTTTTAAAAGCCCAGTAATACTTTGCCCGATACGGGAATCGAATCCGAGCTCCCTTGCCCGGCAGTCGCACTTGCGACCACTCTGCCAACGAGGCAGCGAATACACCTACGGTCAAATGTTAGTATCTTCGGAGGACGACGACGACGGCAAACATGTATAGGAAATGTCCTATACTAGTTAGCCCGTCATCTTTTAGAGTAACTCATACACACGAACTTACGAAGAACATGAATTTTCGCAATTAAAAACTTGTAGGTACTGACACTCGATTCACCATTATTTCTCTTACCACCTGCTATTGACTATTGATTTCCACCCAATTCAATAGTGAACTGTGCATTCATACAAATAAACGATGAAAATGACAGGTAAAATTTCAGCAGAGATCAAAGGAAAATACACATTTATTTTTTAGTGCTGTTTCTGAAAAGTCAATCAAGAGATGACGTTTTCAATTTGTCGGAATCAGTATTGTTTTACTATATAAATAATTGTTTCTGCTTTTTATTTTTTTTTCCAGTTGTCTTATTTTATCGTTAATTGAATATAGGTAGTTATGCAACTGTGAATTTTAATTTAATTTTAATGTGAGCTCAGCTCGCCCGGGAATTCTGCGTATTTTCCAAACACAAATATCGCTGTTGTGTATTTTAGTTCCCAGTAAATACAGCTTGTATTTCGTTAGTATTTAACTGAGTACCTAGGAGAAATACAAGTGTCCGTAAAAATAAAGCTTGCATTTTTCTGACGTGTTTTTATTTCATTGTAACTTTGCGTAAGTTGTAAGTGCTCGGACGGACCGGGTGGACGGTAACTAAAGCTTAGCTCTACTTTCCTTTCACCTTTAAAATGCTTAACTACATTTACAGTACATATTTTACCCTAGTCTCACAATTTAACATAGTACATGCATCTGTTGTGTTTCCTTTTGCCACGTAATCTAACTTTTCGTTTATTATTCCTGGTTTAACTTCAACATTGTTAGTTACAATCAGTTCTAAATGTTTTGGGATTTGTAGGTATTACTAGGTATGCAATAAAAAGGCGTGTCTTCGGTCAGCCTCAATGGCTTGAGCAATACAATATGAATAAGCGACTATCGCAGTAATAAACCATTGAAGATGGATATCATTATCCTTTGTTTATTCAGATTTTTTATATAAAATAGTATGATGTTCTTATGTTATGTAGTAAAATTGCACTCCCGCTTCCTTGAAATTTATTTTACCTTAGTTTGCACAAAATAGAGATTTGATATTTTTAGAACTTTTCTATGCACAAGCTACAACATTTTATAGGCCCTGCACTCTTATAAGAGCTTCCATTAGCTATTTTTAAAAGGGGAAAATCATCTAATTACTTTTCCCGCCTACGTGAGGCGGGAGGGAGTGTAAGACTCTTACCGACTAAAAACTACCCCGTTCCTACTCCTGCATTTCGAGCCACGGTAACCTTTTACGTTCTCCGCGGGTCCGTATCAGCCCTATTGGATCCCCCCTCCCGTAGTAGACTGATGGCTCTTTGAGACGCGCGCTCATTAGCTTAGTGTTGCGTCACAATAGAATTTTTATATATTATGGAAATAATAATCCAATAAAAAACATTCTGTAAAACACTAGCCCGAGTGTCGATGGAGCCGCTCGTTCATTTCTAAAAAGTAATGAAATGTAGACAAAGGCGTTCTAAGTCTAGGGTTGCTTATTATTATAATAGCTAATGTTGTGTGACTTGGCCGTTGTATCGATACCCAATGAAGTTAAAAAATTGCTATAAGGAAAAGTTGATTGAATAAATAACAGTTCTGGCGACTGGTGTAATGATGTCTTGCACATGGTTTTGCACTCTTGTGTACCCTTTAACGACACGGCAGTGTTTGCTTCGCGCTCTACTTGGGGGGGCACAATCATGCCCCCAGATTCTCTAAAATGGTAGCTGCACGTCCCAATCAATTATAATGATCAAATCCCTAATATGCACGACCGCAGCGTTTCAATGGTTGCGTTTATATCGGCATTGGAAACTAATCACTTAAGGGATTTGTTGGTACTGTTATATTGAATTTATACGTGATTGGTTTTACACTGTATTAGGCAGTAAGTGCATGTAGATACTTATAGGTACTACCTATAGACATATCTCAGAAGGTTTTAACCGTACGATTTGGAAGCCATTTATGAGGCCTTTTTAGAGTTGACTATAGATTACTTGGCTTCTAACTTCAACGTTAAGTCAGTCTGGAGGACATTGGCTAAAGAACGCATTTTTAAGAAATTAATCAAATGTGCTTGCTTACTCGACAGGTATTTGAGTTATTTCAAATCTAGGTTGAAATTAATTTGAAGTTGGTATTGCAAACAAATTGCTGTTAGAACGAAGATGCCACTTCTCGTTAGTTCCTAATGATGTGCACCATTCTATTGTACTTATGAGCAATATCATATGTTCGTTGAACCTAACAAATGAGTAAGTTGAGTAGCTTATTGCTGTCCGAGTGATGTGCTTCAGGGTTCAAACTATTGCAAATGAGTGCAATTGCAAGAAAACTTTATTGTTGTATTTTATGTAAGTACGCGATCATTCCAAGTGTTTGGTACGGGAAATACATCTTTAGTATTTCTAGTGCTGTCGTATTATATTCTTCCTTATGCTTTTAGAATTTTGTTTGTTCGAACAATATCCATCTCCTTGATATCAACGGCGTAGGTAGTTAATCATTTTGTAATTAATATTACAATGTAAGATATGAGTCGTAAACAGGTATATGGTCACCTTGGTAACTAATTAGAACGTTATTAAGATTGTATATTGATACATGATCTTGTTTTATCGGTTTTGCCTCGGGTATGGTATTGATATGTATTTGAAGGTAAAAACCAAATAAACAATTCTAATTACCGAACGAAAATAATTGTCGAGGGTTTTTACATGGAACTGTATTAATAGTTGGCCATATCATTTGTCAGTAAATGTAACACTGAGAGGGGGACGGGGGTGGATGTTTTCACAATGTGACTTTAGCTTAAATGTCAGAGGTTGGACTGGCAACAGTTATTAATAGAAATAGTTAGACAGTGTTCGTCAGGTGCATCTCAACTATTTTAAACTTTACGAGTTGATTTTGGAACCGTTGCTTCTAACATACATATTATGTGTTAAATGTTAGTAGTTATCGTGTAAGTAACAGTACCTTTTCTGAGTTATACTTTCAGCTCTGGGCGGTTCTTTGGTCAATTTTCAGACACAAACACATTTGATTATACTTTTAAATATTTTTAATCACATTCGATTACAATTTTATTATATTTGCACATGAAGGTACTTAAGTACGTCCGTTCATCACGTGAGGTTTTTATAGAATTTTTTGCCCCTATTGGTGGTACCTACGTAGTGAAGTTTAAACTAACCCCCTCATCCTCTCCCAACACCAAGAGTTCTTTTATTACGTTTACGTACCTCCAAAAATTTTGTATAATAGTGTCTTTAAGAAAACACAAGTACGTAGTACGTGTAGGTACCTATAAATGATACACAGATTAAAAATTTTAAGTGAAATAGAAACAAAGTACACACCGTGCTAATGTTTAGAAATCGCGCATTTGACTAAAAAATATACCGTCCCCTTTCGTGCTGTTTCGTGATTTTTTGTCGAACCCCTCCCCCCCTATTGAGCTTTACGTGGCTAATGGATGGTCCGTTACCAGACTTACGTAAATTTGTATTGTGATGTTACAGGATGAGCAAAGACACTTTACATTTGAGGAGCGGAACATAATCAATACCCGAGGCCACCAGTACACCAGCCATCCTCAAATAAGGGTGAATTCGGAACTGTCTGAGAATGATAGCAATTTGAGCGAAGACGAAGACGGCTCTTTACACGCCAGTCATCAGAATTTACGTAAGTTCTTTTTTATTATCCTAGTCATCTTAGGTAAGTTAAATATGTTATGGTTGCTCATTTTACCTAAATCTTCTATATTTTTTTGGTAGTTTGTATCCACACTGTTCATATGTTTGTTCTTAAATTCTAAATTGTTTATTATCCCTTTATTGTTGTATATAATTTTGTCCAGTAGTAAACTTTGCTTTAATGCATTATTCGAGCCTTTACTTTCAAGTGTAACCGGTATTTATAGCATTTGTTTGTAAAGAGTTATTTATGAGACAATGAACATAAAATACGATAGAGTCGTTACCACTTATTAATAAGCGGTTTAAACAAGAAGGTCATAATAATAAACTGGTTAACACTATGATTATGAATGTCAATATTGTTGGGAAAAGACCTAGATGAAATGAAATAGTTGTAACGCTAAGTCAAGTAAGGGCTCTATAATGTCATATGATTTTTCTTTTAGCAGACTGGTCAGTGACGAAAACTTTCACAAAATTGACAATATCACCAAAAAAGAATGGTCCTGAAGAAGGTGAGTTAAAGTTTCATAATGGTAGCAATATTCTTATTGTATTATTATCATTATGATTATATTCTATGGTTCCTCCAAGATTATTTTTACAAACGTTTATATTTAGTCCATTCCACGTTTACATTAGTTGATTTAAAATAATAAATAAAATAAATAAATATTTAGTTTAGATTTCGTGCCGAGAACTTCAGATCAAATGATAATATCTTGACCAAGGGATCTCTGCATCAATGAGCCAACGAGACTAATGCTATTAACTGTTTCAGGACCACCCGTCCCACCACGACCACCTAAGACCTTTGCTGGCAGAAACAGGGATACTCTAACCAAGGACCCTTTCCAGGGTCCCAAAATCCAGGAACCCACCGAGGTAGTGCTGGAACCTGTAAGTTCTTTGATTTGTATTCAGTTAAAACTTAAAAAAGGACAGATGACAGTAAACAGGATCAGTCAGTGACTTGAAAAAACACAAAGTTTATGGAACTGCGTGTCTTTGGCAAGAGTGACCTCTAAGATGTAAATAGTTTGCATATCACTTTACAAGAATAACCGTTTGGTGCCCTAAAAGTTCGTTATGTTTTTAATCAATTCTATGACGTCAAAGTCTCCTGTTGTTATTCATTTAAAATTATAATGGTCGACTTCTTGCAAAATTTTGATTTTTAATGTTTTTATTCATGAAGGCAGGTAAGGGTCATGCGGTAGTTGTCGTTCGAATCAAGCTGTCTGTTTCAAAGACAATCCATTCCGTATCAGTTTCAAAGAACAAAATATAGAAAAGGACGTATATAATATGTTTATATATAATTGAATTAGTAAAGTTTATTTATTTATTTATTATTGCACACATATTACTATTGTCATTACAGACTTAATCTAATGCGACAGAGTAATTTTACATAAAATAAAACTTATACATGCCGTAAATTCATAATACAAGTAGTATACTTTTTACATTTTAGTATACTTATTATTTAATAGAAGTTACTATATTGCACTTTTATTACGAAGGTCACCGTTTATAAAGGCAAAAGTTGTATGTATATTTTTATTCTTTACACGGTGTCAGATTGATAAATGTCCGTTTACATACTACTAATGTCTTCTAGAAACTTCCATGAAGTCAATTAGTGATGAAATACTTTTAATCGAACACATCGATCATCGAATGCAGGAGTGACGTTGGTAACTACGTATAATTCCGTATTATAGATATCATCTTACTAAGTATTCTATTGTATTTAAGTACGGTACCTATACCATTTAACTACTGTGCACTTTGGAGACAATTTTGAGAAATTTTCTTAGTAAGTCATGGGTGTAACATAATTAAAGTTTTTATAATTGTATATTACAGCTGCAGCACAGCCACCAGCGGCTAAGAGTACCCCGTCGCATGTCACAGGGCGCTCCATCTTCTCCGCGTTCATTGCTAAACGCTCGCTGTCCCGAAGAGGAGGAAGAATTTCCTCCCCCGCAGGCTGTAAGTCCACTCATATAATCAAAATTTTGAAACATCACACTAGACTTCTATCAATAAAATGAGATTGTTCCAATAAACTCCATCATTACTATTAAAAATCTAACATTGTGTAGCTATCTAAACAGAAAAATATAACTGGAGTGTCGGTTTGTAATATTAAAATAATCACCATTTATGACATGCATATGAATATACATACGATACACATACCAAAATAACATTTATTATAATTTTTGTCCGTCAGTCTGTTTATACTGGCTAATCTCTAGGATGACTAGACCGATTTTGACGGGACTTTTATTAGCTGATGTTCTAAGGAGTAATTTTGTTACTCCACTAAGGAGTAACAAAATTACTCTTACTCCTTAGAACCTTACCAGTATCCTAACAGTTGTTACAGACTACTTGTATTTTGGAAAATTGAAACAAAAATGAGCTATGTCCTAAAATTCATATTCTATGCAGACGAGTTCGCGGGCAACATCTATTAATCAATATGTATTTTCTAGTCTTTACAGTACTGTAATCTGCCCACGCTACCGCCGGCAGTAGACAGAGCCCTGAAACCGCGTCACTCTACACACAGCATAGGACACGGCAATACCTTCATGACACAGGTATATTCACTACAATAAATATAATATTATGTACTACACATATTACTGCTGAATATATTACAATATCAGATGTATCTAGATCACCTCATAAAAGTTAGTATCCTTATTTAAATTTTACTCAATAGATCCAGTGTGATCTTGTATTACAATATTACAATAACATTCAGTGCAACAATGCAATGCAATGCATTGTTGCGATTTATTCTTGGATGAATAGAATCAACAACAAACACTTATATCTCTCTTGAAAATCTCTTTGAAATAGTTGCTTATAATGGTTAAGATCATAACCTCTGCCGCTAGCAGTATGCACTATTTGAAAAGTATCACATGTCAGACAAACATTTGTTTCGTAGATAACATCTGTTTAGCATTAGATGTTGCAATACAATAGAATTATTTAACTTTGCAGGCTTTATAAATACATGTTACGAAACATAGTTATATCAATTGTTAACCACAAGTTCACGCTGTATGTATTCTATATCGTATCATATTATTGCATATTTATTAAATATATATATACATATTTATATACTTATATACTTATCATTTCATAGTATATTTACAATGTATTATGGAGTCTTCACCCAAAGAATAGATATTAACTGTGTTGTGTTTATTTCTATTTTAGGAAGATGGACTTCATAACGAAGTACATCGTTACGAAACTGTTAAACCGTACAGGCCCTCTATTCGTCGCACTGGGTTTCTAAGTGCTCTAAGAAAGATTTTTGTGGCTGTAGTCCAATTTTGTAGCTTTCGGTCAAAAGCTTCAAAACTGAGTCGTCTAAGGAAACAACTGGCTAGAGCGGAGAATGCCACATTAGCCTGTAATATGCTACCATCCAGGGCAAAGACATTAGAAGACAAGAGACAGCCATTAAAACGCGGAGTCATATTAGGCATACCGTCAAATAGAGTGAACACGCTAGAGATACCATCAGACAATTTGCTAGAAATTAAAATTCCCACTCACAGAGTTGGGATAATAACAATACCACCAAATTTACTCCCAAATATTGTGATCATGCCCCAGGACACGGTAAATACCTTTAGAACCGCTCAAGATTTCACAGTAACATAGTTAATGCTTATTCTTACAGTAAAATAAATTATATATAAAAATTTCGATATCTTACTGTGCGATAAAGTGAAATATCTTGGTTCTAAAACATTTAATTTGATGATACAACTTGTAAAATTGGAATTGCTCAATCTCAGGATGATAAAAATGAGAATATGATCATCCACAGAGAGCGTAGTCCTTGCAATCCGTACAGTTATCTCTTCTCGTTCATCAGACAACAATTCCTGGAATACATAAACATGATATATTTTGTTTAAACACGTTTTTACACGTAGTATAAACTAGTAATATTCCAATCTGCATGAAATTTGTTCTACTATGTACTTTTTTACATTATTTAACTGTCATGTTTTAAACTGTTGTCTGTGAGTAAATGATGAACCAGAACTATAACGAACTAAAGCTATATTTTGTTTTGTCAGGGTATACTATTCCTTGTAGGTGCACTTATTTATATTTATCTATTTAAAGTATTTTTTTGCGATATTATATTATTTTAAGTAGTTTATTATGTGTAATTTATGCATTTATATCCCGTTTCTTTAGCTAGATTTCGTTGCAGTGTTGTGTAATTTTTATAATTTAATTCATTTTTTTTTATTTTCGTTCTTGTGCTTATGGTGTATTGTTGCTATAATTATGTTGTTAAGCCCCTATGTACGGGCAAATTTTACTGTATTTGTTGTTGTACAAGTGTTTGTGTGTGTTTTTATTGAGTAATTCTCATGTTACAGGGTACGTTGAGAATCGGTAATGTAGACGACATCAAGCAAGACGCCTTGCAATACTTAGACCTGGACCTGCACCCCGCGAAACCGGCAGAAACAAAGGTAATTCATTGATAACTTTTTAATATATAATAATAAAACAATAATAAAACAAGGTTGTTTATACCCTGAAGGTATTCAGGGTATAAACAACCTTGTTTTTTCTTGGTTTAAAATCCATTTACAAACATGGGTACACAATATATAGGTGTTAACAAAAACCTTATTCAGCCTGTCACCAGGCTGTTTGACGTAAACCGTGATAATTATACGTGGTGACCTGTGTTGCTCGACGTATTCCTCTCGAGAGATGATGATGCAACTGATTTGCTACAAAATTAGCCCTGAGGTCTCTAGTGGAGTGGTTAGTTATTGAGGTATTTAACATTTTTGATTTTGGGATGTTTGTCCAGCGCACTATCGAATTACTGAGCTGCAGTGCCCGGCTACCTCGTTCCCCAGACATTGGATTGGCAGGGGGACGAATTCCATGGGTGCACATGCCCAGTATCCAGACCTAACGCCGGTTGATTTATAAACGTGTTAGTTTTAGTAGCACTTCTGCCTACCACTTCGGGGATAAAAGGCGTGATGTTAAACATAACATCTTCTTTCATCGCCTTTCTAAATCCTTTATAAATTAACAAGTTTTACTATCACTTCCCGAGAGGAATACGTCGAGTTACCAGTCACAGTGTATAGACTTTTTACTCGATTTTCATAATGACACCAGTTGTCATTACGACAGCTTATTATGTAAAGCGTCCCGCTTTATTAAATTATTAAATTAAATACTTCAAGTTAAATATGAAACTCATTTATTGTTGTTTTTTTATTGATAATATCTATAAATTTTAGGAGAAAACGGAACTGCGCAGGAAGACCGAGATAGTTCACGGACAATTGTCAATGTCATCCGTGGACAGGGAAGCGTATAAGACTGTGGACTTTTTGAAGACTGAAGCATTCAACATCACCCGCCAGGACGCCGAGGCATCGAGGAGCTTCCAATACTAGCATCCGCCTTCTCCAAAAGCATCGAAGTCAGTCTGGCAACAATGCTTGTGTTGGGGAAAATAAATATTTTATAACAAAAGAACAACAGTGAAAAACGGCTCAGTTTTTTTTCAATCAGTGACGTGTTCAGTGTCTGGTAAAGTAAGTCGCATTTATGAAATTTGAAGAAAAAGACTTTTAGAAAGCTTTAATCGACTTTAAAAAGCTTTAAAAGGTAAACGATTGTGTAGGATTGTTAATGTGCGTTGTGGACAGCAATCATACACTGCTGTCAGCGACGGCCACGGTCATAGTATTATAAAAATATTATATATAGCAATAAGAACAGTATTCTTGTAAATCTGTCTGTAAAGCACACCATCGCTGGCATTTCAAGTAGGTAGGTTCTGAAAGCTTAATTTTTTTAATACATTTCAATACTTATAATTAGGACGTCAAGCGGATTCGTTTTGTATACATCTTAATATTTAAATATTTATTACACACAGTTTATTTCAATAAGTATTGTTTATGTACTTAATAGCGTTAAAATACGATAATTTTCGCTTTATACGACACGGCTTTTTCCTTAGCGGATAAGACAGTATATTTGATGTTACCAATATATAATTAGTAAATTAATGTTGAGCATACATTACATGTTATATAAAATGTTGTATTTAGGGCTTAAGAAACGAGTAATCGTCAGTAAAAATGTGCTGACGTACAAATTTGTGCTCTATTATTCAAGAGATAACAAAATAAATAAAAAGGACACTCCTAAATATTGCTCTCGTGCGTTTTAAAGGACTTTGTACCTTGTTAACGTATGTGGAACAACTAGTCATACGTCTCTTTCTTGCACGTATTTGCAACTGACAGACAATGCACGAAATACCGTGCTATTCCTAATTAAGTGAATTGCTTAGATTTCATGTCAACATATTATGACTATTTGTTAATGTAGTCTGTCTACATATAAAATAAATATCTGAGTATTGATAGTTGTTAGTGTGTCATGACCCATCTTGCTGTGTGATGCCGAGCACGGTTGATAGTGTTAGATGACGTAATCATTCATCGGGACATTATTGTAGGTAAAATATCATCTGAACATTGATGTGTTAGGATTTAGTATAAAAACGTAGTAACTTATTTCATTTTGGGACTTTCGGTTCACAATATCGAAGTCTTTTGGGCCTCTTCATTCAAGCAAGTATTAATGTTGCTGATGACTTACTTAAAATAATATTCTGTAATAACAATATTGGATTATATATGTGTAATATGTGTATATCAACTTTAAGGTAAGTGATTAAATATCTTCGAACGCACAAGAAGACAAATATGAAGATGTAACAGTATTAAAATAGGTGTTAAATTTGTCGGCTCTATATTTGACGTGACGATGTCTATATGAAACACTTGATGAATGTGTTGCGAGCATTATTATACCTCTTGCAGGATAGCGTGACATATTTCGACGTATTATTGACGCAGTTCATTGAACTGTTTTATCTCTATATTATTATAGCATTTAATCTCTATTTGCCATGACAAATATAAGAATTGGAATTGAATCTAAATTATGACGCTATTCTCTAGTAGGGGTTTTTAACTTAACTGTGAAAGATCACTTGGAATTAAGATTTCGCAGGGACTGCGTTAGTTTGAGCTTATGTACATTTGTGTCGCATGGATGTCTTTGTCAATCTAAATAAGTGTAATTTATATCATAATATGTGTTCTATGTTGTGGTAGATCGTTGCCTTTATGTATTTTAATGTTATTCTGTCCAGATAACCTATTCTAAAAGAATAAGGAGTCTGACATTGACGTTGTCTATTAGTTATGGGGCTGATCTCATTCACTCTAAATGTTATTAGTAGTACTAAAAATTCTTGTATTTTCAACATGCATAAATGTAACAAACGAAGTGTCTCAACCCCCAGATCTAACAGACAGAGTGTTTTCCATTGACGAGGTGACATGAATTGCGGTACACCACAGTACTTATTATTTAAAAAAAATGCATTAAGTCTGTAGCTATATATAAGTACATAATGTAGAATGGTTCCCAAAGGGTACATATTTATAAAAAAAAACATTATATTACCTTACTTCGTATCCCCTTGTCGTGGAAAAATCGTAAGTATTAGTATCATGATGGACTGTTTGAGTGGCCTACGTAGGAAAGGGTATGGATTATTGTATATCATAAATATATATAGTATTGTAATTTATATACTCGTTGACTGTTGAATCCTTTAAAGAAGTGACTTCTTAACCCTTCATATATTTATATTTGTCTATATAAAAGTTTGTTAATACCCTTACACCTCCCAAATTGTTCGGAACATAATTGTCTATATATTGTAGCTTTTGGAATGTATATTAAGATTAAAATATTTATCATCTACTGTCAGACGTTAACGATTGTTGCGACAGTTTGGTCTCTATTGAGGAATAGATAGGCATAAAAGTATATTTTTCAATGAAACGCAGGGGTCCAAGTAATGCGTATGATGGGTTCTCTTCCTGTAAACTTAGAAAAGGAGACAGTTCTTTTTACTGACTTGTCTTGCCTATTAACCGTCCCTTACATACCTCTCTTTTCAATTCTTTATCCTAAAGTTATTTAAGTTAAATAACTCTGAGGAAATTGGCAACCATTAATTGACAAAGATTAATCAGCATTCCTCACTATACTAAATCTGGCACCAATTTTACACATGGTGTCTTAGGCCTAATGGGACAGAAGAATGATTAGATAGCCTGTATATACATATTTATTAGTACAGAATATATATTTATGTATTGTATTATAGATTTTATGATTAATCACATCATACATTATTCAGAACAATGAAAATATATCAAATAGAGTATAATAATATTTGTTGATGTCGTAGACAAAGTTTTAAAATCTTTCTTGATGTTGTTAGATGCTTGCACAGTGATACGTATTGCTTTTTAATGTTCTGAAGATTTTGAATTGACAATTGGTAAAGAACCAGTGAGAATATTGACTTTTCGTATAGGATTGATTTCGGAAATAGCCTAAATTCAATGGTGGTTAAAAATGTATGACGGAGTTGTACAAAATGATGTATGATGCTTTAAAGGGAATTCTTGATGTTATCGAATGTTTGTTTTATGATTCTCTGAATCCAATGACACATTATTTGTCTTGATATAATAAATGCAATATTATGTTGAATGAAATCCCCGTTCTTATCATAGTACGTATTATATTCAGGTACTTATTTAGGTAATTTTCCCACTAAAACCAAAGTATGGTTCAATCACATTTATTAGAAATCGTAATGTTATTTAATTCTGTTACTTGATACCAAAAGAGCGTTATAATTAAAGCACATGGTTGCTTGTATTTGTATTTTACTATAAAATGTTTGTTAATATTGTTTTATATTATTATGTATAATTACTTTGTGCTTTCTTACCTTTATGTACAAAACATTAAATGGCTCACATTATTTTCAATTTAGGTTACAATTTAATTATACTTTATTACTTAATGGTTAATTATTTTAAGGATTTGTTTTAGATTATAAATTATTTGCTTCCCTTACACAATGTAGATGCAAATAAATGTGTACGTGAAATGTGGCTTACTTTTATTTCTTGAACCCATATCAAGGTATAATATACTTACACTGTAAGGAAAGTTGTTGCCGGCTGACTGGAATTTTACAGCGCTGTTGTAGATTTTCACTTCCAGCCATGGTATCATTTCCGCGATAGGCGAAAAGTTTAAAATTACCACCAGCATGTAATAGCTATTTAACCTCGTCTCTCGAAAATCACGTTAAGTTGAATCGGAATCGAAATTTCCCAAAGTACTTAATCCTAAAGACTAAAATTAGCTACAGGATTTACACTTCGTGTTCCGACTGAGATATGAATTTCATCACTTGTCGAAACAGGAATCGAAATTGATACAAAGTGCTCGAATCGAACTCAACGCCCCCTCACTGAACGAATCATTCAAATCGAGCACTGTAACTGGCATTACTATTGTCGGTAACATAGTTTCTTTATTAACGCAACTTGTTCAAGATGGTCAGTTATTGGAACGTAGGTAAACTAAAACCTACATATCGAACTTCGTGAGACGGAGAACAGACGTCTGGGTTTTAATAGCAAAGAGTAATCATGTTAATTTAACTGTAGTTGGAAACTGAGGGCAAATTCCATTCGTAGTACAACGGACTCATATTCCTCGACAACTGCGAACGATACCAGACGATATTGAGTAGGTCTATAATGTGTAGTAAAAGTGTTACCGAACTACTGAATTACTACGACTTAGTACCTATTTATAATTCTGACATTTACTCAAAAACTAGTCTAGTTGGTAAGTAAATAAAACTGGTCCACTTATGAATAGTTAGTGTATGTACGTATATACCTACCTTAAGTTATATGGACTAATCAATGAGTTATTCAGCAGTTAGTCCAGCACTAATATTTGAATGGAAGTTACGTTTACGAGGCAGCGATATCAATTCGTTAATAATTGGTCCGTAAAGCCAGTGATTAGTTTCAAGTGATGCGGATAGTTGCACGGGCGCTGAGCGGTGCATTCTAGCTTCTAAAACGGTCAAGGTACGTGTAATAAATATTTCCTAATTATCATGTTATTAATTAGGATTTTTACAATGTAGCAATTCTGCATCAAGGCTGTTAATATTCAGCTAAGCAGGCTTACCTACAAAGAAAGATGTTACCGTCAGCAAATTTATGGTTTTGCGTTCGTTTGCATGTAAATCAACTCCTAGTATAAGTAGATACTTGTCACGGGGAACCTAACGGGTTACCGGGGCTCCAGCTCGAAGCGAAGGAGAAGGAACGGGGTGGTGGTTTTTAGTTAGTAAGAGTCTGACACTCCCTCCCGCCTCACCTAGGCGGGAGCAGTCTTCGATGATTTTCCCCCCTTAAAAAAAAGTCTAGATACTTACCTATAGAATGTCGAACCATTTTTCCCAAGAGATAACAAT